AGCTGATGATCCCCTTCGCCCTCATCAGCGCCAACCTGGGCATCCTGAACAAGCGTCTCGGCGTGGCCCCTTCGGCCCTGTTCATGGTGGTCATGGGCATCAGCGACATTTTGACGCTGTACTTTTTTTGGGTGGTTAAGGATGAGGGCAGCTGGTTGGAGATTGGAAGCACGATTAGTCACTTTGTTATTGCGAGCTTATTGTGCGTGTTTGTGAGCGCTTTGGAGCCGGTTAGTGCGGCGTTTATTGCTGGGGTTGAGGTTGGAGAGGAAGGTGAACTGAAGGAGGAGGGGAAGGTGGCGGAGAAGGTGGTGGAGAAGGTTAATGAGGTTGTTGAGGGGTTGGTTGGTGGTGGTGATAGTTGAGTTACGTTTGCAAAAGGAGTTGTTAGTGTATAGATGGTATCTAATGTTCGATATGTTGCATAGGGTCACAAGAAAAGGGGGGAACCGCCAGCTAGTAGTTGGATAGAGTATATATGGTATATACATACAGCAGATGTGTAATAGTTTCCTGTGTTTCGTCACGATATCATTTCAACTTCTTCAAGCATATTATCGAACACTTCGTCAACACGCGATGTACTGAACCTGACCTCGATGATTTCACCAAGGAGCATAGCCACATCGTTGAACCCGCCGTTTCTATTTCCAACAGACGTACCTAACCTATGCAGCATTCTACATGACACATACAGCCTTTGTCATCTTCCACTTGTCTGTCCACCAACCTCCAACCAGTACTGCCATATATCGCAGAGCAAAGACATGGTTGAATTTACGTTGATCTGTATACCTACCTACCTAATCACAGTGGGAATTGCCTTGTTTGGGTACCTCGTGATTTGAATTGCGTTCCCTTAGTTGTTTCTTTGCGTTGAAGAATCATAGAAGCCTGCTGACAGGTGCGTATGTCTGCACTGCGGTTCGACTACATGTACCTATGCATGCATAGGGAACGGACGTCATCAACAAGAGATATACCTAACACCATACAAATAGGCCGAGCCAAATAAAGAGAAATCCACTCCCAGCGAGATGTGCGTTGATTCGGATCAGGCTGTGGAGGATTTTGGTTTGTTAAGCCAGCGAAGCCAGTGAAACAGATTTGCGTTGTTTTGCTTCGCCTTCGTTTTAGGTGCGGTCCCGTCTTGGTCCATGATGTCTGTTTCTTCACGCCATCACGCATCTCATCTTCAGGCGTTATCGAGTGCTTGAGCGCCACAGAGTGTTTGTACTGTGATCAAATCCCGCGACTGCACCAATTACATAAAAAAATCATGGGCTTGAATTGATCCCCCCCCCCCCCCCCCCCCCCCATAACCTACTATTTCGACAAACCATCACTTAACGTTGTTGTTGATGTTGTTGTTGATGTTGTTGTTGATGTTGTTGTTGATGTTGTTGTTGATGTTGTTGTTGATGTTGTTGTTGATGTTGTTGATGTTGTTGTTGTTGTCCTCCAGAGTCCAGCAGGAAGTAGTTGAACGACAACAAGCCCTTACAAAAGCGAGGGTTAGGGTCCCCCCAAACTCCGACGGGCTCTCGAACGGTCGAACCCCCTCTCACAAAGACGGGACCGGAATCGGCAGTTTCGCTTAAATCCCGCTGTGTCTCCACCAGACCACCACCGGGCCACCGGCCGCCCGTCCCCACACTCGGGTCGGGGGTCTTGGGAAGTCCCGTCCCGGTTCGGCGAGAATGCGGGGAGCAGCTCTTGCTCGTTCTGGGCACAAAAGCAGCAGCAGGGCTCAGGGGTCGTGTAAACAAATTCCCACTTGAATGAGGAGATGTGTGTGGGACTTGCGGAAGACTTTTGCTGACAGATCAAATGAAATCGTTGAAAGGGAAGGATGGAGTCCTGGGAGGGAGGTGGGAACGGCCCGACCATCGAACGGGGACGGAAGACGGACGGTAAGACGGGGGGATTTGACAAGATAAAAGACACGCGGGAGGAAAAAGCTTGTGTCGATTAATGGTGTGGGCTGTGTGGGTAGGTGTCGATGCTGGAAATTAACGAACATCTTTACTGCTGACTATCTTTGTTAGTGAAACAAGGGAATCAATTCAATTTTGTTGGATGCGGTGACTCGGGGACCATTGAAGTTTACTTCAGAGGTGCGTGGTGGTATTCCAAGGTGAGAACCTGGGACATCTTCGCGATCATCTTTACTTGGCGATGTCTCCCGAAGACTGTACCTACTTGGTGTCATGGGTAAGTTTAATAGGCGGGGTAAGTACCGAACCTTACACAACCAGGTCGTTCCGAGAATAGGAATGTAATATAATATTACGAATATCCAAGGATCCCTTCTCAAGCCGACGAAATATTTTATCCCGGAGGACAGAATTGATAAACGAACTTCCATTTGATCATAAAGATTAGACGTAACGCCGTTTCTAATATACAAAACACGTTCTTGGATGAAAATAGAGAGAGCAAGACGTATGTTCCAAGACGTCAAAACCCGGCCCCATTTCTTGAATAACTTAACAACCCCGAAATTTTGGCTGTAGTAGTCCGTGCCAGGTACCTGACAGGGGGGTTTTTCTTTTGCTCGGAACCACAGTATGTGGTCCTCCAATCATGAACTCGGAGACTTTTCCCCGGATTTATATACGTCCCAGTATGAGGATTTTCCTGGGGAAGCCTTTTAGTGTAGAGCCAAGGACTTCGAGATCGAAAGACAATGGAAGATCGGACTACGTGTGCCCCTGATAGGCGCAGGTGAGAATGCGGGAGGTCGGACGCTAACGGGCAGCACCATTCCCTCTTCTCTAATTACTTACATGCTATGCTGGTGATGCTTGCGAGCTTTGCGAGCTTGCGAGTTTGTGGTGGTGGTGTGAAGTCGGTTGGTGTTAACCAATTGCGATGAACCAAGACTCTCTTGGGACCTGGGGCCATCGAGGTACTCGAGGATAACCACTCGCCCGAACGGTTGAAAGCTGAAGCTGAACCGTAACGAACTGCGTGAACTGCAGTGCTGAAGGATCAGGTCATCTCACCGGGCAGCAGGAATATCCTTCTCCAAACCGCTGCGGGGTAGCTGAGCAAAAAGGGATCGTTCTAGGGCATCTGTCAGCGAAATACCTAGTACGGGAGCGATGATGATTATAGTTGTGATGGTGGACATTGTGGAAAACGCCGTGTTCCCGTCAAAGTCAAACTAAAGGCCTAGAGAAATCCATTTGTGATCTTGTGTCTTTTCAAGGTGGAGGAGGAGTCGTTGTTGAAAGGTCTTGGAGCCAAGGGAGATGCCGTGCCCCGGATTTCTGTGATGGCGGGCAGCATTTCCCAGTTTGGATGTTTCCCCCGGGCGACCAAATCTCGGGTGACGATGATGGGGGCTCGATGGGGTTTGATGTGAGCACAAGGCTCCCTGGAAAGTATTGCCTCCTTGCCGCATTCACTGCTCATGGTGTCGTTGTGACTTGTAAGCAGAAGGCAGACCGAAAATAATCACGAAACACTTGCTCTTGTCATGCTAGCTCGTGAGGCTCGTTATACCTAGTAGTCAGGTCCTAACTAGCAACGGCAAAGTGAGTCCGCAAACAGGAAACACTGCATCAAGGAGGCAACATGGAGCCACGAGGGCACCACGAGGCAAGAGACATTGGCGCATTCTGATGTCAACGCCTTGAACCTCGAGTGACATCCAGCTGACCCACGATATCGGACCAACAGCAGGAGGCTGTCGTCTTGGTATTCGTTTCCTTTTTGAGTTCTCATAACAACCGTTCGTCGAGAATATGTGGGGTAAAAGCAAGGTACCTGTCACGTAGCAGGGAGTCCAAACAGGTCCCCTTTTCACATGCAAACGAAAAGAGTCCCACTGCCCCATTCATGACAATCATACGAAACTGAGGCATGAGACACATCCTGAAGTTGAACAAAAGGGAAGACTCGAAACATGTCGGTCAATGTTGAGACGACCGGGAAAGTCCTTGTAGGTTGGGGTGGATGACATTTTATGGGGATCCAGAGCCCCAAACACAAAGAGTTCCACACTGCGTCTCTGGTCGGCTGTTATGTTTCCGTGCCTGTACTGGTGATGTACATAGAAGAGTTGAGTTCAGACCTGCCGGAACGGCAAGATAGAACGATATCTCACGCAGACAGACCAATGCGAAGAACTGCGGAAATTGCTCCGTTTGTAGACACACATTAGTAAGAGCTTTTTGAGATGGTACCGTGCAGTCACACGCAACAAGGAGTCAGGACATGAGGTTCGTTCGATATGTGCCAAGTTCCGTACAGGTTCATACGCTCCGTCCAACCGTTTTCGCGCTAGCAAAAGTGAGTCCGCTCAATCCGGGGATGGCACTATGGCAGCGGTAGGCCTGCAATTCCGCCTGTGCTTGGCCGCCTCACCTCCCCGGCTCTGCTGACAGTGACGGCAATTGGTACAGGTAGCAGTTAGAATATTCCTCGCGTCGGAATGTTCCCGCTTTCAGACCACGCACCTACCTTGCTCCTCCATGTCCCTTCCCAGTTCCCCAATCCCCGGCTTCCTCACAAAGAAAAGCAAAGAAGGAGCAAGCGGCGAGTCTTGGACAAGAACCAGAGAACACCCTCGACGCCCTTGTTCACGATCCCCCTCACTTTCCACATCCCGTTTTCACCTTTTCCTCTCCAGTCACCACCCTCTGCCCGCCCTACCTCCACGTAGAGGAAACCCGTGGGCAATAAAAACCGACCTTGGTGCGACTATGAACGCGGCCGAATTTCGATCGATTTCCTGATATTTAAAACCGTATTCGCATAGGGAGCTGCTACACCACATACAACCATCTTATTGCGCAGCCTTAAGAACCACCTCCAGCCAGATCTAGGACACGAGACACGTCGGCTCTTCTGGTCCCAAACCCCGTCCATCGCCCTAGAGGTAGCTTCCACGGCACCCACGCAACCGACAGTGACCAAACGAACTTTGGCTGGAGACGCGAACGTCCAAGTCATCCACAACGGTAGCAGCACCTAGTACGGAGTACCGAGTACGGCGTAGCACGGCAACACCCAGGTCCAGAGGCTGGGCAGTTCACGCCAATAAACGAACCACGTCGATCGCATCGGGCCCCCCCTCCCGTCCCCCAGAAGCAGCAACGCAACCACCGACAAGCGAAGCTCTTTCGACACCGAGGGCGACTAGTCTTCTCTCCCTGCTTCAACAGCCCATCGACGATTGCGTAACACCAGGCTTTCCTCGTTTCGCCTCGAGGAGGGCGCAGTGCATCCCCGTTACCAGACGCAAATGGACATAGACGTTGACACGGCCAAGGGAGCAACAATGGCTGCGACAACGCCAGCAGAGAAGCCGACAACTGCTTCCGCCCCTCAGCAGCAGCAGCAGCAGCAGCAGCAAAGCCATCACCAGCAGCAACAACAGCCGACTCGACAAAAAGTAGTTCAGCCAAAGCAGCAACCTCCACCGCTGCAACCACAACCGCAACCACAGCCGCAATTCAACTCACAATCGCCGACTCAGTCGAGACAGTCGCAGTCGCAGTCGCCAGCACCGTCGCAAGCGCAATCCCAGGGCCAGCAGCCACCATCGGCGTCGACAGCCACGGGCACATCAGCCGGCCATATGAGTTTCAGGAGGTTGGTACATTCCGGCAAAGACTGGGGAGGATAACGGTCAGGAGCTCCTTTTAGCTAACAAGTCATCTTTCGGAATGAAAAAAGACAACGAGCCTCTCGAGCTTGCGAAGTAAGTTGCAAACGTGTATTTTATAAGTTTCTGAGGTCCTCTCCCCGCAATGGGCCCCCAGCCCCAAAAGATACATAAAGAGCAGAGACCACTGGCGGGATGCGACTCGTTGCGCCGCATTTCAACCTCGAGCCTCGGCTCGTTAGCTATCGCGTTATCTCTCGTCCGAAACCTAGGCTAACCACCCCGTCTTTGTAGACTTGCCATGCCCGTAAAGTACGACGTCCTCTATCAAACAAAGCTTCCCAACCAATTGCCAAACCTCGGATCTGTGTTTTTGAGCGGACATGGATGCTCACATCATGCCCGTTATAGGTCCGCTGCGATGCCGCAAGCCTCGGTGTTCCTTGCACCAACTGCGTCGCCTTTTCCATCGAATGCCGCATCCCAACGCCTAAACGCAAGAAGACTGCCGCGCAAAGCACCACCACTGCCCCTTCCAAGGACTCGGACAGGTACTTGCTCTTTTGTTTCTTCTCGTCTTTTACTTGTTTCTGCTTTTCCTGCAAACAACCTCTCCCTTTCTTCCTGTTTTCATCACATGTCATTGGCCAAACAACTGACCGGATCCCAGTGAGCGAGGAGACACCGAAGACCGGTCGCCGCACCAGGCCGGTGCAAACAACCCCTTCCCGGCCGGAACCCGACCTGCCGCAGCCTATCACACCCAAGAGGGGACACCGACCACCTCTGTCACCGTCGAGGAACAGGCGAAAAGGGAAGAGTACGATAATGCAACCCTAGCCAACTACATGAATCTCGTCATGAAGCCCAAGTTCACCAGAGCACCTATCACGGAGGCTGGGAGGGTAGCCTATATGGGCGAGTCTTCCAACCTCAACCTTCTCGTCCATGACCGCCAAAGCGACTCGGACGTGGTACACTATCCTCTGCCGGAACATGTACGGGGCAACAAGGCCAGGCTATCAGAGCTGGACAGCACCGAGATCGAAATCCTTCATCAGCGAGGCGCCTTCCTGCTGCCACCACGGTCTCTGTGCGATGAGCTCATCGAATCGTACTTCCAATGGGTGCACCCCATAGTCCCCGTCATCAACCGGACCAAGTTTATGCGGCAGTACAAGGACCCCAAGAACCCGCCGTCACTGTTGCTGCTGCAAGCCATGCTTCTCGCCGGTTCTCGAGTCTGCACCAACCCCCAACTGATGGATGCGAATGGTTCTTCAGCACCTGCCGCTCTTACCTTCTACAAACGAGCTAAAGCCTTGTACGAAGCGGGCTACGAAGACGATCGGGTTACCATTGTTCAGTCACTCCTCCTGATGGGTTGGTACTGGGAAGGCCCTGAGGATGTCACCAAAAACGTCTTCTACTGGAGCCGTGTTGCTACCATTGTCGCACAGGGCTCTGGCATGCACAGGAGCGTTGAGGGCTCACAGCTGAGCAAAGCCGACAAGAGGCTATGGAAGCGTATCTGGTGGTCACTGTTCACAAGGGACCGATCGACAGCTGTTGCGCTGGGACGACCTTGCCACATCAATCTCGACGACTCGGACGTGGAGATGTTAACGGAGGACGACTTCATCGAGGACGAGCCGGACAGCCCAAGCGACTACCCACCGGACCAGACCCATGTTCAGTTCTTCCTGCAATACGTCAAGCTCTGCGAAATCATGGGGCTGGTCCTCTCTCAGCAGTATTCCGTTGCCTCCAAGGGCAAGGGAAAGAATGCTATCGATCTGACACACAGTGATATGGCTCTTGCCGACTGGCTCCAGAACTGCCCAAAGATTGTCTATTGGGAGATGCGGAATCACCATTTCTGGTCTGCGTTGCTCCATTCGAATTACTACACCACCCTATGCCTCCTGCACAGAGCGCACATGCCACCGAGTGGTTCCCACAGGTGGCCTGATGACTCGCCCTATCCATCGCGCAACATCGCGTTCCAGGCGGCAGCTATGATCACCTCTATTATCGAGAACCTCCAGTCCAACCATCAGCTGCGGTATTGCCCTGCGTACATCGTCTACAGCCTCTTCTCCGCGCTCATCATGCACGTATACCAGATGAGGTCGCCAGTTGCCTCCATCAAGCAAGTTACGCACGACAGAATACGGACATGCATGGCCGCCCTGAAAGACGTTTCCAAGGTTTGGCTTGTGGGTAAGATGGTGGTTACCCTTTTCGAATCTATTCTCGGAAATAAGGTCCTCGAAGAAAGGCTTCAGAAGGCGGCAGGCAAGAGACACCGTCGGATGCAGCAAGGTCTCTCTCAGCTAGAACAACATCGCCAGCACCAGCAGCTTCAACAACAACAGCAACAACAGCATCAGCAACAACAGCAGCAACGTACACACGATCAGAAGCGTAAATACGACGAAATGGCCATTGATTTCAGCGTCAACACTCCCCAGCCCCATGAATCTTACGAGCGTTCAAGGCCACAAACACCAAGTCTGACAACCAAGACGGAGATGACGCCCAGCACGATGCCGCCACCTGTTACGTCACCCAATAACCAGAACGGTCACCGTCCTCCGAACGATGCGTTTATGGGCGGAACGGCTTCGAGGCCGCAAACTCGGCCAGCGACGCCTTTCAATCCGTCCTTCTCAGTCCCAGCCACTCCACCAGATCTGTACCTGGTGACCAGAAACTCGCCCAACCTCTCACAAAATATCTGGGAGAACTTCCAGCCCGACCAGCTCTTCCCAGAAAGTACCAACATGCCCCTATTCCCCCACCTGTCACCTACCCAACAGCATTCCAGCCTGGACCCCAACATGATGCAGATGCCAAGCGGACTTCCCAATCAGCCCATCGAATATACACAGGGCGTTAAGCGCAACCTGGCTGGCAGTCCGTTGCCCAACAATAATAATGGCAATGGGTTGCTTCAACCTGGCGGCATGCCAGGGCAGGGCCAAGGCCAGCAGGGAGGATATGGAAATAATAATTCTAATAGCTTCTGGAACGTCAACTTTGACGGGCAGATGGGCGGCGGTGGAGCGAATGACGGGCAAAGCCCGAGTGACAGTTGGAGTAATAGCTCGGTGCAGGGACAGCCTGTTCCGTCGACGCTTAATGTTGAGGACTGGTAAGGTTTTTTTTTTTTTGGTTTTTCTTTTTTTCCTTTTCGCTTTTTTTTTGTTTCTTGCTGCACTGAGTTCGGATGAAAGCAAACGCTAATATGGGATGAAATCCTAGGTTCCAATTCTTCGGGATTAATAGTGATCCGTCGCAGGGATTCAATCTTGACATCCCAGAGCTGATGAGGCAGTTGTAGTCGTGTTGATCGTTGATGTCGGAACTATGATGATGTTATGGCAGCCGTCATTCTCAAAGAGTATGACGCGGAAGCGGAAGTGTATAAGGCCTAGGCTGGCAACTTTTGTCACTGTATCTTTTAGCGTTGAGCAAGCATACAAGCAGTCTCAAGAGGAGTCTCAAGAGGCATTGGCAGGAAACACAACTAGGTACAAGTACGCTTTATTAGATCGATACGTTGATGACATCTTTATGGGAGAAAACAGTGTACAAGCTTGTTGATTGAGTTGTTGGAATGGAAACCAGTTGCATACAAAAAGCAAGACTAATTGTCCTACAAACCAAGGTTGTAAATAACCTCCCCCAGTGACCCAGTTCCGGCGCTTCTCTCACATGATCACAGCAACCCACACCCAGATCAGCGCTTCCCTTGATCTTGCTTGGAAAGCATCTAATCTGTATGGGTCAAGGCCAGGTACATTTTTCTTTTCATTCGTTCGTCCTCAAACAAACGCTGACTTTCTTTCTTTCTGCATCGGCAAATGATGCGCTGCTGGCCGCATTTTTGGCCGCACATCCGTCGTCCTTCGTCCCCGCCCGCGTCTCCGTCGAGAAGGGAGAGGGGAGAGGCGCCGCACCTTGTTTTTCCTTACAGACAGACAGTAAAGAGGAGCAAGAAAGGGTCACAGTATCCGAAGTCATACTTCATGCAAGCCTCATCCCCGGAAGCACCCAAGACACCAATCAATCCATTGAGCGCTTCGGTTCTCGAGAGAGTGCGAGAAATGGTTATCGACCAATTATATTGTGAAGCAGCCCTCTGATGGGGATTGGGGGGGGGGGGGGGTGGTTATGAACTTATGGTTACTGGCCAGCCACGCATAGAGTCTAGTCCATGGACTGGACTGACGCCGTTCCGACGATGGAGGAGAGGGGAGCTTGTGAATGTCTGGATGAGTACTTCAGGTTGAAGCATTTGACTTTCCGGTCTCTTTTGTCTGTATGTTTGGAACCGATGATGATTCGCAGTTATATCAGTCTCTCAGTTCCTAATCTCGATATCCGAGGGCGGTACAGCGGTACCGAGGCTTTGCCCAAGGTAATCTGATCTGGCTGACCTGAGGCAAAGAGACAGAGGTTAAAAGAGAGGGGCGGATACCTGTAAGTAATAACAAAGCTGTGATATGAACATGAAGGAAGGACCATTCTCACGACCTGTCGATCGCCAGCTGCAAGATGTGATGTGATAGTGAAGAGTGACCCCCAGCTGCCCCCAGTTAGTAGCGGGGTTCTGTTCTTCATCACTTCTCCCGTTCTCTCTCTTCACATCCGTTGAATGCGGCTGCCTTGAGCGTTATCACACACAAAAGGAGATGAGGTTCGGTTAAGTTCATCACTTATACCTTTCCATTTCCCCCATTCATCATTCTTGTCAAGTTGGACTCTCGAGAGAGGGTTGTCTTGTCTTTCTTCACCAACTAAACGAAGTTGGCGGAAGCGCGTCTAAGCCGTTGGGGGCCACACTAACAAATAGTGGGTGGAGTTAGCCGCCGGCTTGTGTCTTTGTACCACACCCTTACTGTACGGGTACCCGAATCATTGGAGGATTGTTTCCGAGAAGCACCAAGGTCCATCCGAACGGTGATAGGGACTGAGAAGGTGCGAAAAGCTGGCCGGGATGGTGTTGAACGTTCCTGCCCGGTCTTATAATGGAGGCCCTTCCCCCCTCTGAACATGTGAGGAAGATGCCTCCGGCTGAAGCGATCTGCAACCGGCGGCTAACTTGGAGACGGGACTCCATCTTTCGGCCCGCCTGTTTTCTTGGTTCGACTTCATTGATCTCTCTTTTAAATATCAGAGAAATATGTAGGTCTGAATCACAGCTGGAGACTTCCCGGCGGTGACAGGGGAACGAAGCTACCTCTATACGGGACTGTCTCCGTAGTTGGATGGCTCCTCCCCCGGCAGCTGCCGCCTGCCCTATCACGCCCATTGCTGCCGGCCTATCGATGACCTGTCGAACTGTGTACATATAACATATAACAGGGCCTGGAGATGCCGCCCATTCGCTCATACAATGAGCGAGACCGAAACAACTTTTGCAGAAAGTTGACCATAAATGATATTGGATTTGTTCCATGCAACAACGCCTTTGTGTCTTTGTCAACCGTCGAGCGTCGCTAGTGATCAAGCCACCCGGCCACCTTTGGAGGCCCAAGCAACAAGTTCGCTTTGTGCCTGCTGCACCTCACCAGTTCCCCGGATCTTCCCTAAAAAAGTAAAAAGTCCACACCGTGGTTCTCGACTTCACGGCCCACCCCAGCAAGGCCAGGCCACCACCAACGCTCATCACCACAGCAGGGTTCAGAGCAGGGCAACCGCCGCTCGCAAAGTACATACCAGGTACCCCTCCGCCGCACGCGAGCTCTGACGACACAAGTGCGAGCTGGGCTGTTACCCACAGCTTACACAAACACGCAACTCTTCCTCTCACAACTCGTGTCGACCAATTCCGCCTTTCCCCCAGTCTTCCACATAGCATCGACAAAAGTAGGCTTTGGAAAGTAGCATTCGACACGAGGACGATAACACGACGACCACAAGACATTGGATTCCAAGTCGCAGCAGGACCGGGACTTCCGTCTTGTCTTGTCCCCGCATTCCGAATCCCATCGAATCGTTTTACCGAGACGCCCAATCGCAATCCCCAGCCGCCCATAATCGCCCAACATGGTGCAGGCGTCCATGATCTCGGTGCCTCTCAAGGCCACCAACGAGATCGACTGGGTTGCTCCCCTCAAGAACTACATCCAGAACACCTACGGCGATGACCCGGAGCGCTATGCCGAAGAATGCGCGACCCTCAACAGGTTGCGCCAGGATATGCGAGGCGCCGGGAAGGACAGCACGTCCGGAAGGGACCTGCTCTATCGCTACTACGGCCAGCTCGAGCTTTTGGATTTGAGATTTCCGGTGGACGAGAAGAACATCAAGATATCCTTTACATGGTATTGTCCTCTCCAGCACTGCTGAACAATGCGGGCCGGACACATCGGTTTCTAACCATCTGCTGGTTCTGTAGGTTCGACGCTTTCACCCACAAGCCCACAGCGCAACACTCGCTGGCTTTTGAAAAGGCCTCCATCATCTTCAACATTTCCGCCGTTCTATCCTGCCATGCGGCACACCAATTGCGAACCGAGGAGGCCGGACTCAAGACGGCATACCACTCGTTCCAGGCCTCGGCCGGCATGTTCACCTACATCAACGAGAACTTCCTCCACGCGCCCTCTTCGGATCTGAGCAGGGAAACGGTCAAGACACTGATCAGTATCATGCTGGCCCAGGCGCAAGAGGTCTTCCTTGAGAAGCAGATTGCTGATCAGAAGAAGAATGGTCTGCTCGCCAAGCTTTCTAGCCAGGCGGCCGCTCTCTACGCCCAGGCTGTTGAGGGCGTTCAGGAAAACGTCACCAAAGCCATTTTCGAGAAAGTTTGGCTGTCTATGGTCCAGGTAAGTTGTTTTGGCGTTGAGTCTGGATCAGGAAGGATGGGAAACGAAGGGCAAAACTGACGAAAAACAACAGATCAAGCTTAACTTCATGAACTCGCTAGCCCAGTACTACCAAGCCCTCGCTGACGAGGACGCAAACTCTTATGGTGTGGCCATTGCGCGTCTTGAGATTGCTCAAAGCCTTGCCAAGGAAGCGAACAAAATGGCAAACAGTTTCCCCAGCTCAGTGCCCCCGAACTCGAATTTAACCTCCGATTGCGGGCACATTCTAGCAGATGCTACCAAGAGACACCTCGCAACTGTCAAGGAAAAGTTAGAGGAACTCAACCAGGAAAACGACATGATCTACCATCAGCCCGTACCTGCGGAGGCCAGCGTTACACCGGTCCCAAAGCTGCCGGCTGCGAAACCGATACCCGTCAGCGAGCTATACGCCGGCCAGGATATTCAACGGATTACTGGCCCCGATCTGTTCGCAAAGATTGTGCCTCTCGCGGTCACCGAATCTGCTAGCTTGTACGATGAAGAGAAGGCTAAGCTGGTGAGAGCAGAGACGGAAAGGGTAGAGACCGCAAACAGCGAGATGGCGGCTAGTCTGGACTATCTCAGGCTTCCAGGCGCCCTTCAGGTTTTGAAGGGAGGATTCGACCAGGATATCCTTCCAGACGAAGACTTTAGGACATGGTGCGTGGATGTCGCGGATCACGAAAATCCCCACAAAATCTTCGAATATCTTCATACCGAGAAGCAGGCCATTTCCACGATACTGGATAAGAGCAGCAGACAGTTGGACATGGAGGAAAGCGTGTGTGAAAAGATGCGTTCCAAGTACGACGCGGAATGGACACAGCAGCCAAGTTCGCGGTTGACTACTACGCTCAGAACCGACATCAGGAGGTATAGGGAGGCTTTGGAAGTGGCAGCGAAGAGCGATGGACAACTCGCGACAAAGCTCAGAGCCAACGAAAACGAGTTGGATGAGATGCGCCAGGCTGCGCAGCATGGAGAGATCGATGAGTTGTTCCAGAGGGCAGTCAAGAAGTTGCGAAAGTCGAACCCGAATAGCCCCGCTACCGTCGAGCCGAATCTCCTGGATGCCGATTTTGATGACGGTGGCCCGAGTGTGGTTGAACAGATCCAAAAGGTGGAGGATATTCTGAAGAAGCTTAGCTTGGTGAAGAAGGAGCGTCTGCAGGTACTACAGGATCTGAAGCAAAAGGTATGCTGTCACCATGAAGGGGCGTGTGTGGTTTACTGAGAGCTGACAAAACAAAAGGCACACAGTGATGATATTTCCCAAATTCTTATTCTCAACAAGAAGTCGATCGCGAACTATGAGCAGCAACTCTTCCAGCAGGAACTGGAGAAGTTCAGGCCTCATCAGAACCGCCTTGTGCAAGCATCACACAAGCAGGCTGCTCTTATGAGGGAGCTTACAGTAACATTCAACAATCTCCTTCAGGACAAGCGAGTTCGTGCCGACCAAAGCCGATACGAGTCGGTACAAAGATCGCGCGCCTCCGTTATCAACAAGTACAAACGTGCCTACCAAGAGTTCTTGGACCTTGAGGCGGGTCTGCAGAGTGCCAAGAACTGGTATAAGGATATGCGACAAGAAGCCGAGAGCCTGGAAAAGAATGTAGAGGCCTTTGTTAACAACCGTAGAGCGGAGGGCGCCCAGCTTCTCAACCAGATCGAGCAGGACCGGGCTGCCAACAAGAGCTCCCACGCCGCGCTGGAACAAGAGCGGTTGAAGAACCTCATGGAGCGCATGTCCATGGACCCATCACCGACCTCCCCCAAGCCCTCATCGGGATCAGGAGGCCGACCTACACCCGCCCCCTTATCCTTCGCTCCGGCAGCTGTCTCCAGCACCCCATTGTCAGCCTACCAAAAATCCAACTTTTCTACCCAGTATCCCGCCTCGCCGCCGGCCACACAAATCGCCCACAACCCCGGGGGCCAGCAACAGACCCCCTACCAACAATACAACCCCAGCTCCCTCGGCCGCATCCCCGGCCCCGCCTCCCCACCGCCCAACCAAACAAGCTTCAACATCGGTCCCGGCCGCCACCCCGCCTCTCCGCCGCCGACGCAAACCTCATTCGCCCATTCTCGCCCTTACAGCCTGACGACGTACGGCAACCCCTCGGCATTGAATCCCCAGGGTGGGCAACCTGGCCAAACGCAGCAATCGCAGCCAGGAGGCTACGTCCCTCCAGGCTTCGTTCCTCCCCCGCCGCCTCCAGGCCCCCCGCCGCTGGGACCGCAGCAGACGGTACACTACGGCGGAAACGAGTATTATGCGGGTGCCATGGGTAATCCGGGCATTGGAAGGCCGGGGTCGGCGCAGCAGGGGCCGCAGGGGCCGCAGGGGCAGCAGGGGGGGTGGGGACAGCCGCCGCCGCAACATCCGCAGTATCAGCAGCAGGGAGGGGGAGGGGGTGATCCTTGGGCTGGGTTGAGTGCTTGGAAGTGAGAGAGAGAAATGGCTTGTGTATAGGAATTGGATGAATGGATAGTGTAGGTACGCTTAAGAGCGGAATGAAGAGTATAAGAGCGTATAGGGAGGGTTATAGGGATGGGGGAAGAAAGTAGCCGAGCTGAGCGGCAAGCAGTGGTCATTGGTTATTGGTTATTAGCAGGAGGTTAGAAAGAATTCATTCACACATCTTTTTTTCTTGTTTGTTAGTCGCAAGAGCGTATCAAGGTGCTGAAATGAAATAAATTGTGTTGAAGATCATTGTGTTGAAGATCATAATTTTGAGAAGTTTGGGCGACAGGAACCTTCGGAGAGCTTTACACAACTACTTAATAATCTAGTAGAAGGTTACCGACAGCTTATCAACAGGTTGTGGACAAGTTGAACCACACCTTACCCGGCTATGTGATGGCACATGCCAGCAGCTGTCGGACCCTTTTGCTTTCCATCTGGTCTTTGGTCTTCCATCCTGTCTCTCATTACACGTAAGAAAGATCCCTTGCCTCTTCCATCTGATGTAAAATTGCTTCCTCTTTTCTTCTTCATCTTTAGTATCTTGATACTTTCGTCAGTACTCTTGGTGCGTTAGCCACCAAACTACATGCGGTCGGTGACAGGTTAAACATTCCCGATAGGCCGTATCCCACCAAGGTCAATCAATCACATTCATCCTAAGACAATAATAATGGGACCAGGAGGAAGACTTGATGCAACTCACTCTTCAGATATGCCAGTTAATACCCCCCAAAAACCACCTTAGCTAGATGTAAATACAGATGGTATAACTAAAAAAAAAAAAAAAAAATTGGGACATGATGATATAGCTAAAAATGGACTGGTACAACATGCATGCTACTGTTCTTCTTTCTTCCTTCTTCTTCTTCTTCGTCTTCTTCGTCTTCAGATTTCCGCCTTCCGCCTTGCGGATTCTATGTGTGTGTCTTTTTCCTTTATCCAAGAACCCCTTTCATGTCCTTCCTATCTTTATCTTCCCTTCCACACCTTCTTCAACTTCCCATACCATACCCTAACTCAAAGCCTATAATCTAGAGCTTAGAGCTTGGACTTGGGAGCCTCGAGAGTGGGGGTAAGGAGATCGCGGAGGTCGTTGGCGGCCTCGTTGAGGTAGTAGCTCATCCTGTCGGAGCCGAGGCCCTTGGAGACGATGTTGAAGTTGAGGCTGTGAAGGTTCACATGTTAGCATTTTCATCCAATGTCATGGGAGAGAAGGAGCGGAGAAACAAACCTGTTCTCGTTAATCATATAAGCAATACCGAATCCCTGGTCAATAACCTGGCTCCATCCGTATCCGTTGAAGAACTCGGAGCTCAGCTGGGAAGTAGACAGGTACCACGAGCTCGAGTATCCGTAGGCGGGGTCCTGGTACAAAGCGGGGACCTCCTGGCCGGGCTCGAGCAGGCGCTTGAGGCCGAACAGGTGGCGGTCGACGCCCTTGCCGTCCGAGGCGGCCGAGATGTACTCAAGGTGGGAGTCGATGGCCTTGCGGAAGAGCTCGACCTTGGTCTTGTCGTCGACGCTCGCGTCGTTGGCGGCCTTGCAGAAGGCCACGCTGGCCTCGCTGACGGAGCGGCACGTCTCAGTGCGGCCCTGCTGGAAGCGGCGGGTGGCGGCCGACTCGTAGGTGGGGCGGTTCTTGCCGTACATCTTGTAGTAGGCCAGCTGGATGATCATCTGCACGAAGGCGTCGGGGGAGCACTTGAACTTCTTGATCAAACCCTTGCCGTAGCCCTGGAAGCCTTGCACGGCGAGCTGGTGCTGGCCGATGACGTTGTTGAAGTCGGTGATGGCCCGGTCGATCTCGGCCTGGACCTCCTTGGTTACGGTGAACTTGATGGCCTCGGGCTCGGGCATGTTGGAGCGCACCGAGGGGTCGGAGAAGTCGAGCTTGTTGTTGAAGATGACGTCGTTGACGAAGTCGTTGAGGCGGTGGGTGGGGGTGCCGTCCATCATGCTGTGCTCGCCCATGAAACCGGAGGTGCCGTTGTCGTTGACGATGAACTGGAGAGGCTTGTCGTACCAGCGGTTCTGGCCGTCACCGTGCCAGTACTGGTGGGCGCGCTCCTCGAGGGTGACGGGGGCGGCATCGTCAAGGCAGACGACGAAGGAAGAAGCCTCAATGGCCTCGAGAGCCTTGGCGTTCTTGGGGTCGGCGGAGAGGAGAGTGGCGCGGGCGTCGGTCCAGACGTCGCGGTTCTCGGAGGTGAGAGCACCAACAGCGGGGGCGCGCGAAGCGGCGAGCTCGTAGACGCGCTTGAAGGCCTGCTCGAGCTCAGTGGTGTTGAGCTGCTTGCCACCAACCTCGTGGTAGATCTTGTAGAACTGGTTCTTGCGGATGACGAGGATGTACTTGTGCTCGTCGGCGCTGAACTTGACAGGGTAGTCGGCGGGCTTGGCAGCAACGCGGCTGGCGTTGAACATCCACTTGTAAGAGTCCATGCAGATGGGGAGCTTCTTCATGTACTCGGGCTCGAGAGTGCCCTGGTCGACCATCTTTTTAAACTCGAGAGCGGCGGTGGTGATGGCAGCGGCGCGCTTGGCGGGGTCGCGGCGGCGGCGGTCATCGCGGTGAGAGTAGAAGTAGCTGACGTAGGGGACAACGGGGTCGCGGTAGGAGAGGTAGGCCGCATCGTTCCACCACTCGGAGAGCCAGTTCTTGTGCTTGGGGTCCTCGCGACGAGCGACGAGCTTCTCCTGGAGCTTGCGACCAGGACCATTGGGGGCAATGAAAGCGTCAATGGCCTTCTTGCTGTTCTCGAGCTCCTGTTGGCTGAGAAGGGGCTTCAGAGACTGGTAGTAGCGGGCAGCCGTCTCCTCGAGGGTAGGGACGGGCAGACGGGGGAGAGACTCCTGGAAGCGGAGCATGGGGCCCTTGGACTTGTCCTCGACATAGCCGGCGGGGAGGGAGCTGTTCTTCCTTGTTTGCGCCATGGCGGAGATTCTCTGAACAGCCGAAGGGAGTCAGTGAGTCGCGTGCGCGCAACAAGGAAGGGAGACCGTTCATGACTTACAAGAGGGGTAAAAGCAGCGGAAGTTGGTTGTCTAAAGAGGTGTCTAAGCGTAGTAGACCGAGCCTCAGATCGCACAATGGAAGCCAACATTACTCAATAACCACGGACGATGGTGGAGCTAAGAAGAAGAAGACGAGGAAGAAACAATAACAAGCAGTGAAGACGGGAAACGGGGAACGGGAGGCGGAAAAGGGAAAAAAAGAGAAAGCTGGGCAGTGAGGCAGACGGGGGGGCGGTGGGTACTTGTATGATGTACACCTTGAGGGCTGCTGCCGACTGCGACTCGGTAGCTCGGAACAAGTGGACACTTTTGGACTTGTCTCGTGGATATTATTTACTCGCGGAGGTGGACTGGATGGCCCATGGGGGAATGGTGGTTGTCAATGGAGACGGGCAAGACGGGGGGACCGGGGCACGGGAGACAAACCACCACCGACATGAAACCTTGGCCGGCGGACTTATTGTACGGTACCTTGAGGGTCTACTTTTGCAGGCCGAGGCTTTGTCTCCAAAACTGGAAGATATAAAATCCAACCAATGCTACCCCCCACTGAGAGCGAGTGAGCCTATACTACGGTATTCTCTGCTCACCATGTCGTCGACTAATGTCCATCTGTTTGTTCAGATCAGATCCCATGATGGTCGTCCTGTGTCCATGATGCTGGTGCTTGATTCCGCAGTCGTGGTACCTGTCTGTTCTCATTCCATCCTATGTACCTGTCTGTGTACCCGTTAGCGGGGACCTTCCGCCCGCACGTTCTTCTCTCCCCCATTTCCCCCATCTTCCGTCTCTTTTTTCTCCAACTGCCCGTTCAGCTGGGATTGGATTGGGAGGAACAAAAAACGTGGGGCAGTTACATATTGCATTCGCTGTCTGGACCGCTGGAATGATATGAGAGGCCGAGCATACGCCGTAGGCTACGTAGAGGACAGAGGTACAATGAACAAAAAAAGTGGATGCGCTTGTCCGAGTGACCGACTGGCTGCCCCATTTACCCCTCGAGCCGAGGCTCAAAAGTAGCCGACGGCATTGACGATTGCCAAGAAACTCTCTCCCCAGGCCCCAGAGTCCCAGACAGGAAGAAGGTTCAACCCCACGTTTTGCCGGTGGTGTGTGGTGGGTGGATGTCTTTCTTCCCTCAACTGAACCCAAATGAGTTCAATCTCAACTGCAGCCTTCATCCGTTCATCGGGATCGAAGTTGATCTTCATCGAATTGGTGCGCGTCAAATGCCAAAAGCTCATCTCATCCATATGTCCGGCTCGTCTTCTTATGCACAGAGCCAGACGAAGTGTGCCTCATCCTTTCTCTCCTGCTGACATCTCAAGTGGTTCCCTTCCGGCTGCTGACAGACTAACATGCTGTCCCACCATCCGTCGTCAATCATCCCTTTCCGCGTCCAGTGTCACTGATCCAGTGTGTGTTGTGATATGGAACAGAAGCCCCAACAAGTCACGTCACTTTTCCACTTCCCTTCAACTTTACCAAGCCGGGCCCGGGGTTGCGGGTTTCTGCGGGTTAGCGGATGCCGGAGATGAGAAAGTCTTTGAGACATATGATTAGTCAGCTGAGGTTCCGCTTAGGGGGAGGAGGCTTTCACATGTCATCCAACTTGGCAACAACACCACAAAGGAACAACCACAGACATCATGTCACAGAAGGCTGCAGGATTTCAAAATTTCGCGAAAGACGGTTTGACGGATGTCAATGTAACGGCACGCGACGCAAGAGCTTATGAGCTTTTTGGAATTCTTGCCGCGCTTACGTTGAGATGCACGTGTTGAACGTTCGCCATTGGAGAATCCCTGCTGTTGATCTGTGAACATCACGGATTGGAAAAAAGCTATCCTATCGAGTATCGTTTCTTAAGTGGCTTTGATTCGGATCCAATACGTGGCTAGGTAATTTCTGTTTCTATTCCTTGTACATCATACATGAGCTTGATCTTTCGTGTAACAACCGAAGAGCTCAGTGTCAATCTTGTGTAGCCGGATAACCGAGCGAAAAACACAACTCCTAATAATCCAATGTTGACGCCTGTAACACAGCGAGAACCAATAGGGAACATGAAAAGAAGAACATTTGGACGGTGATCATTCCGTTCTTTTCACATCGAAATCCACAATGGATGAGTACCGCTACCACGACCACCTACCCACCAACCAACACACGGAGAGCGGAAGCAGCAAGTAATACTTATAGTAGTAACATTATACAACACTTGTACCAATTTCCGCTCGTAGACCGTTACGTGTTTTTCAAACAAACCCGATTCTGGAGGCGACTCATGCCTCGTATGTCTTCAGCTGGCCTTCTGCGCTCAGGGGTTGAACTGATCCAACCGCCGGTGGCGCGTGGAAGCTCATCCGCTGCCCGTCCGTCAACGCCTCTTGGGCCAGCTTGACGCCCTGCTCTCCACCAACCGCAGCGGCCGTCTTGAGCCCTTCTTGGACTTCGCGTACCCGCTTCTTGAATGATAGGCGGTCCAAGAACAGCTGCTGGCGAGCGCGCTCAAGTTCTCGCCTCTCGGCTTGCAAAATAGCCTCCATCTCGTTGAAGTACTTGAGCTTCAACTCCATCTTCTCCAGTGTCACATTCACCGCTGCCGATACGAGACGGGTCATTTCCCTCTCTTCGTGCGAGGCAAGGCCGCCGGCTCTGGCGCCCATGGTTGCGAGCGGGATGTTGGCCAATGCCGATGCCTTGGTTGTTGTGGTGGTTGTGGTCATGGTCGTTGTAGTTGTTGTAGTCTCCTGCCTGATATCCAGCTCCATCGAGTCGCCACTCTTTTCCTTCTCCTTGCCCTTATCCTCCGACTCTGTACTTTCAGCCCCACCCTCAAGCTTGTTGCGCAGTCCTTGCTTGAGAAGCTCTGCTGACTTCCCGGCGGCCGCTGCTGTGCTGGCCGGATCCGCAAGGCTGGCGAGAAATCCAACAACAGACATGACGGGGTTGTCAACTTGACTGAACGGAAGCTGCCCTCCGTGGCTGCCCAGCATTTGCAGTCCAACGGGGGCATCCAGCTTCTCAGATTCCAGGTACTTGTCCTCAATATCCAGCTGCAGGAACTGCAGCACGCACTCCTCGCGCGTCCTTGTTCCGACGTACTCAGCGATCTCACCCCAGTCATCGTCGTACCTCTCGAGCGCCTCCAAAAGCCTGAGAGTCTCGGCATCGCTCCAGGGCGCGTCGCGGTCGAGAATCGAGGTGTATGTCGGGTTCTCCATCCTGGTGTAACTGGCATTGGTTTGGTTGGCTGGAAGGCGGCCTTCCAGGTAGCAACTGGGGCACATGTCGTACTTCGTCTTCGAGTTAACATCGGCCTGTGAGCTGTGGTAGTAGATCCGAGTGCAGTCGATGCCGCAGTTGCAGCAGATGACCTTGGCGATAGGTGCCTTGGTAAGAGCATCGGTTTCCGACGCGCCGTTAGTGGCCGGGGTCTCTCCGTTGGTCTTGTTCAACTTGTTGTTCTTAGCATTGGCCTCGTAGATGTTGCGTCCCAACTCGAGTGTCTGTTCGCTCTTGGGTACAGGTGTGGCGGTAGCCTTCGCTTCGGTGTCCTTGCTGGGCTTTCCTTCGACGAGGGCAGGGTCCGCAGCGGGCTGCCATGGCTGAAGACCACGAGGGGTGTCGACAATGATCTTGAAGTGACCGGTAAATGGGGGGCCGACATGCGATGGCCGCTGGTCGGCATCAACCTGTTCAAGAAGGTCAGCATGGACAAAAGGCTGATAGCGGGAAGCTGTAGAAGCTCACCTGGTAGTTGATAAGACCCCACTGTTCAAGGAAAGCATGGACGCGCATGATGGCGCAAACATCGCCAGCCAAGTTACGTCTGCAGGCTGTGACAGTGAGGTACTCGTATGGGACCAGTCGGTAGGTGTCGATCATGAAGTCGCGATAGTCCTTATATACGGCAGGCGTCTTGCTGCGGTTTCTGTTGTTGAAGAACTCTGGCAGCGCTTTCCTCTCAATGTTGTGAATGGTGTTCCTGTCAAACCAGGTGCTGTAGCTGGGAAGGACGATGGCGTGCGTCTGTGAGATGACATGCTCTCGCGCAGCATTGCCGATCTGCTCTTTTGTTTTGGCGACATCGCCGGAGCCTTCGTTGGCGCTGGCGCTATCGCCATTCTGAGCTGTCTCTTCTTTGGGTGCATCACCCATCTCTTCGTCTTCGGGGGCTGTTACCGCGCCGACGGCCCCTTCGGAGGCATCTAGGGGAGTGGCGGATGCAGCACCGGGAGCCGGCGTGCTGTCATCTTGTTTGATGGTTGGTTCGGGGCCTTCGCCCATCTGTACATCTGAACGCACAACAACCGCAGTGTTAGAGTATGCGCTAAAATACAAGATTGACATGCCGTAGCCAGGGATGATTGGGGGCAAACGCCAGGAATGGGCTTTACCTTCGCTCTGGTTGCCAGTGGTGTTGTCTGGCAAAGGTGGTTGTGCTAAAATAGGATTCGCACTTGGCGACGCACCATTGTTGGGCGTGCCGTAGTTAACGGATCCCTCCTCCATGGCGACGGCGGCTAGGTGGTGGAGGATGAGGTGGGCGACAAACACGCGGCGGCTGCTCTGGGCTTTGGATGATGGAGAGGGAGGGAGTGGATGAAGATTGATGCAATTGATTTGAATGTTCTCCGAGCGCGTTGTGTATGCTAGTAAATCTGCAAAGGACCAATGCCGTATCACAAGGGAATCGAACTCGATGGTTTGCGGCGCAAAAGTGTTGTATTTGCGATGGGTCTTGTCCGGGGAGGGGGGCTGTTCGTGATGTCGTCGCGTTGGAGAAAATGCAACAAATGAATTTCGCGCCTGGCCACGCCGGTGAAGTGAATGGGCCTGCTGAGTTGACAAGCAGGCGTGCCCGCCGCAGCTCACCTTGTTCCGTCTCTTGGCGGAAGAGCTCAGCGAGGAAGGATCGGTCACGTGGAGACACACCAACAAACCAGCCACTCTCCGACTGTGTTTCATCTTACACGAGCCACACTGTGCTCTCCTCTCAGCCACATCTCCCGGGTTTCTCCACACCAGCTGGGCCGTTCCCCGCCAAAAAGTGGCCCGCCCGCTTTTGGCCGAAAGTCGCTGTTGCTGTGCTGAAGCTACAGGGGGGTTGACCTGCTGTAGCGCTGAGTGCTAGCGGCCCCGGACCTGGGGGTCGCCATTGACCACTTTACCTCGGGCCGTCGCAGGCCGTCGTCTAAAGCGTCATTGGCATTGCTCACCCAGTCACCGGGGCGGGTCCCGATCGATCGCCGTCCCCCGTCTTCCGTCTCCCGTCTCCCGTCTCCCATCCGTTCCTTCGTCCCTCCACAGTCTGTCGCCGAGATCAGATCAACTAGGTTCTCTATCCGTCTCCGACAGAACCTCCAGCTCTTCCGCCCACCGAGTCGCCCTCCGGACGCCGTTCCATCCACATACCCAAATCCATACACAATGCTGTCGGCCGGTGCCCGGGCGTTCTCGGCCCTGACTCGTCCCCGGTTCACTACCGCCTCCACTACCCTCAGATCCCCCGCTGCGCTCCGCAGGTTACTGTCCGCCCTCGCCGTCCTCGAGCAAAGAGACGGCAAGCTCAACCAGGGATCCCTCAGCGCCGTCACCGCGGCTGCGAAGCTCGGTGGTCCCATCCATGCTTTCATCGCCGGTAGCAATGTGAAGGCCGTTGCCGAGGAGGCGGCCAAGGTCGAGGGTGTCGAGAAGATCATTGCCGTTGAGAACGGCGCCTACGACAAGGTTGGTGGTTATGCGCCCGGCTGTTGTCAGTGAGTGTGTGCATTGACTTACACGGCGCAATTCGTTGTGTTGAACAGGGCCTCCCCGAGAACTACGCTCCTCTCTTGGTTGAGAACATCAAGAAGGGCGGTTACACCCACATCCTCGCCAGCGCGACCGCTTTCGGCAAGAACCTGATGCCCCGCGTCGCCGCTCTCCTCGACAGCCAGCAGATCTCCGATATCACCGCCGTCGAGTCCGAGAACACCTTTGTGCGCCCCATCTACGCCGGTAACGCCATTGCGACCGTCGAGTCCACCGATCCTATCAAGATCATCACCGTCCGCGGTACCGCTTTCGCCCCTGCCGCTGTTGGCTCCGGCTCCGCTACTGTTGAGGATGGTGTTGACCCCAAGGTTGAGAGCACCACCGAGTGGGTTTCTGAGGACCTTGCCAAGTCGGACCGCCCCGACCTTTCGACCGCTGAGAAGGTTGTCTCTGGTGGCCGCGGTCTCAAGTCCAAGGAGGAGTTCGACAAGATCATGCTCCCCCTTGCTGATTCTCTCGGCGCTGCCGTCGGTGCTTCCCGTGCGGCTGTCGACAGCGGTTATGCCGACAACAGCTTGCAGGTCGGCCAGACCGGCAAGGTGGTTGCTCCTCAGCTCTACCTCGCTGTTGGTATCTCTGGTGCCATCCAGCACTTGGCGGGTATGAAGGACAGCAAGGTCATTGCTGCCATCAACAAGGACCCCGAGGCGCCCATCTTCCAGGTGGCGGATGTTGGCTTGGTCGGTGATTTGTTCGAGAAGGTGCCTGAGCTTACCGAGAAGCTCAAGAGCGCATAATCAATATCTGTGATATGTATGTTGGATGAAATATAAACGAGAAGAATATGTACAAACCTTTTGGCTAAATAGTATACAACAAAAAACACCGGATATCCTACAACCATCTCAACCAGGCAAAGGGTATCTCACCCCAACACGCTCAGCACCTCGTATCTCACCCTAAAACGTTCAACATCTCTCCCGTCCTCGTAAACTTCTCCCTCGAACTCCCCCTCTCCTTCCCCCGTTGCCTCTCTGCCTCATCAATCCTCCTCCACCCCTGCCAATCAACCACCCTCTTCTCATCACCACTCCTCAACACCTCACTCCTCACCCCTTCCCACCCATGCACCTTCCTGTCCACATTCAAGAACGGCGTCCTGCTCACCCAATCCTCAATGATCGCATCAGCCGTCGCAAACGCATTCTCCATCGTCGAAGCAATCACCCCCGTCGGGCCCGTCTTGACCCAACCCGCGCAGTACAAGCCCGGGAAGCTACCGTGCGACATCTCCGCCCCGCGGGTGCGCTCCTCGTGCTGCACGCGGCCGTGGCCGTCGTTGCTGATGATCCCCCGGCGCTCGTCAAAGGGGATGTTGATGTCTGAGAACTCGGGCAGAGGGGTGGACTTGTACCCGATGGATCGGAAGGCTATCGAGGAAGGGAGGGTGAGGGTTTCGCCTGTGGGAAGGGCGTAAGCGTTGGGGTCGAAGGGAGATGGGGAGAGGGTGGTGCGTTCGAAGGTTGTTGAAGCTAGTTGGGTTGATTCGGGAGAGGAAGACGAAGGGGAGAAGGCCTTGGGGGTGAGGCAGAAGTCGAGAGACCACGACTTGGAGGTTTCGGAGGGTGATTGCGAAGTGGCGGTTGTGCCCTTGGCGAGCATCTCCATCAGCCGGCGCGGGGCGCGGGGAAGGGATTTTAGGTCGGTGGGGAGGAGAGAGGTGTCGACGGGGTGGAAGGACACGTCGGAGAGCTTCATCAGCTCGCGGACCTCCTTGATGGTGAAGGCCGCTTGCATGGGTCCTCTTCTGCCGACGACGTGGACCCGCTTTACCCGGCTTTGGGAGAGGGTTTCGAGCGCGTGTGCGGCGATGTCCGTCTTCCGAAGAACGTCAACGTCCTCGAGGAGCATGCGGGCCACGTCCAAGGCTACGTTGCCTTGACCGATGACGACGGCTTCATCGCCTTGGGTGAGATCGGGATTGAGGTTGGCGTGCTCGGGAAGACCGTTGTACCAGCCGACGAACTCGCGGGCGGAGTAGACGCCCTTTAGCTGGTCCTCGCCGGGGATGCCGAGCTTGCGGTCTTGAGCGGCGCCGTAGGCAAAGATGATGGCGTTGTAGTGCCGGAAGAGACTGGCGAGGGGCAAGGTGAGGCCGTCGGGGTGGTCAGACTTGGTGCCGACGGAGACGTTTCCGATGAAATTGAAGTCGGGGGATGAGGCGACTTCCTCGAACTTTTCTTGGCAGTTCTAGATATCGTGTTAGTGCATTTCCTTTCATAAATGAAATTTGGTAAGATGATGGATGAGACAAGTACCTTGACTTCAGGGTGATCCGGAGCAACACCAAATCTGACTAGGCCGAAGGGCACCGGTAGAGACTCGTACATATCCACCTTTGTCCCTTGGATTTTGGCCATAAGCTTATAGGTAGTATAAAACCCAGCCGGGCCGGAGCCAATGACGGCGACCCGGAGGGGATGTTCAGGAGTGGTATGGTGAGCCGGATGCTGAGAGTACATCCGGCGCGGCGCTTGTACTTGCGACGGCCATCTTCCGCGCAAGCCAATTGCCCTGGGCTTTACCCGCGCGACAAAAGCCATTTTCAAGTGTCCAAGCAAATTTGTTGATAAATGATGTAAGGAGACAAACTTGGTGGACATCAATGGCTCATGTTTGTTGCAGCGCAGATCATCTCGGTGGGTAGCCGGGCACGGCGGGAAGGCACGAGGTGACTCGACCGCCCGTGAGTTCGGGTTTTGTGGGTCATCAAATCCGGGGAACGTTCAGATCCTCAGCGGATTTCACGGCACCGACCGGAGTTGCGCACCGCTGACAGCTCCATTAAACAGGGCCCCCAGGACATCATATGGTGCCCCGAGATACACTCATGGGTGCCCAAGTCTCGAATTTCTACCCGCAGTTCAAGATCTCTTCCTCGACCATGTTCCACGAAATGGAAATGGTCAAAAGCCATTGGTCGCTGCGGCTTCCATCCTATGTTGCGACTGGCGCATCCAGCCACCGACGATACGCCGGATACGGGCTGAACGGGTCTGTACCAGGCGATGACAGGGGTTCTCTGAGGGCAACCAAGCCAATTTGGGTGCCCGGGAGCGCGTACCTGCGCGGTTGCCGAGCCAACAAGGCGCCGATAAGCTTCACTCAGCTTCCAGCCTCCCTCTAAAAACGAGCCAAGTTCCGTCGACTTCTTTCCGCAGCGGGGGAGCCGCGGAATGGACTTTGACTTGAGACCCTTGAGGCCAATTAAGCTAGCCCGATTTCTTCGAAAGACATGTCGTCACATGGAACTGGAATGATTGTTCGATAATTCGTCCTTCCGTTGCTGAACCACATCTCTTTCAACATTCGGGTGACCAGCGAATATCCGGTATTTCTCAACACCAAGCCGCCAAAGCAACAGCAGCGCCGTCGCCAAAATGGGGGGCACCGACCAACCCTTCCTGTACGATTACGACCCCGTCAGGTACAGCATCGATGATCGTCTTCCACCCAAACTCTTCGACCCAAAGGCCATCACAAGAGCAAGCTTCGAGAAGCCCAAGCCAAAACCCAAGCCGGATGGCCCGCTTGTCTCATTCAATGTCCATCCAGAGTATGTAACTAAAGAATACATGGTCCCCACTGCACGGGAGGTGGTGATTGTCGATCATGAAATACTTTGACGATGGTGACTGACAATGAACTGCGATCGATCCAGTGCCTATCCCCCTACAGAGCGCACCATCAAGAGTTTCCGGCCCATGGGCCCTAGGTCCAAAAGATGGATCATAAGGATGAGGAATGTTCAGTTGGTCTTTAGGCTGCTTCAATTTCTTGGTGCCGCCGGCTTGCTGGTAATTATGATCATGTTGAACAACATGCAAGAAGTGACCGGCTTGGTCCTCAGGATCGCGGTATGTAAATTGAGATGCTGTTTCTTTCACCAAAGAGAACATACTGACCCTGATTCTCATGTAGCTTGGCGTCGCCATACTTCACACGGCTTATGGCATTTACCACCTCTGGAAGCCTGCCGGTGGACGGGCGCCAATGTCTTCTACTGCCTACCATTTCGGCGTCATTATTGTCGATATTGCCGCTTGTCTAGTCTACGCATATGGAGTTTACGCGGTCCGCAAGCATGGCGCTACGTGGGGTACCCTTCTTCCCGACAAGTCGGTGCTTCAGTACTTCATCCCAGCCGTTCAGTACGGACTCATCGGCGCAGGCGGACTCCATGTTGTTTCCATCGGCATCTCGGTCTTCCTCACCATCCAGTTCTGGCGCATCTGCAAGATGCCGCCAGATATGAACCCCTTGGAGGATAACCTCACCTCACGCGCCCACCAGAGGAACAAGTCCTCGGTCGTTTCCATCTCGACCTACGCCGACGACAATAAGCGGCCTGGCACAGTCGCTGGCAGTCACCGTGACTCCAGCATTCATAACGGTGACGAGCTCGTCCGCCCACGCGGTATTCCCTTTATGCATACTAGGCAGAGCTCAGATCTTTCCGAGCGGTCTTTTGGCAAGCGCGAGTCTCGAGTCACGGTAGACCTCCCGGATCGCCAGTACCAAATCTCACCCGGCAACTCACCACGCCGTTCTATGCCTCCTCGATCTTCCTATCACGGTTCCTACTCCGACCAGGTCCCGTTCGCCAACCAGGGTGCTGCTAACCCCCGCACCAGCTTCGCTTCCGGCCGACCTAGCACCTCGTACAACAACGGCGAGCAGATAACCGCCTCGCCCACCTCCATGTCTCCAACCAAACCACAACAGCCACGTGGCGGCAAGTTCCAAGAAGCCTGGTATACCACCGAGTCACTCTTCAACCGCACCCACGAGCGCAACCGCGCCATGAAGGAAGCCCAAAAGAACGGCGGCGGAAACCGCGCCTACGAAGCCATAACCGATTACTACGACACCCACGACTCCGACGACGATCATCAGCAGCTGCAACAAAACTCATACTCCCCTCCCCCTCCAGCCCGCGACAACCACAAAAAGGGCTACCGAAACAGCCACAAAGATGAGGACGTCAACGATGATGACATCGACCTCGCAGACCTGCACCCCAACCCCTTGCGCTCCAACCCTTCTTCGCCGACCTTGATCATCGACTCGGAGTTGGAGCCCGAAAGGTCAATCACCCCCTTCAGCCGGTTGCGCGAATCAATTCTTCGTCCGCTGAATCTGAACCCGTTGAATATCAAGAAAGTCCGCCAGTCCAAACCACAAAACAACAACCATCTGAAACCGGATAGCCAAGAACCAATGAGAAACCGTGACTCCTCCATCCAGCCCGAGACTTTCTTCTCTTCTGCTGCTGCTGCCGGCGGAGGAGGAGGAGGAGGAAAGCCTTACGATCCTAGTACCTCTGACACGCCTCCGACGCTGCTTGCTGGCCATCCCGATAATAACCGGGTGGTCTCGTCTGGTTACGACCACGATTTTTCGTATGGCGGAGCAGGAGCGGGCAGGCAGAGACTTGTCAGTGGTAAAGTTGCTGAGGAGGGCATGGCTGGTGGGTTTTCGGAGGATATAACGGAGGGAGGGAGGCAGAATAAGAAGAGGCTGACGGTTACGAATGCTTAGTGGGCATGGTAGTAAGTTGGATGCCTACTTACTTGGATGAAAGGAGGGGTGTTTGTGGATGATGGATGGACAAATATGCTGTTGAAATAATGTCGTGATGATAATGGATTTCTCAAGCGGTTTCGCTGTGTTTAGCTAGCAGGTTCTGGAGTTAAAGGGATGGGTTTTCGAGTTCGAAGGCATGATATCACTGTTACGAAAAGTTGAGCGAATGTATATCAACTGAACAAATGGCAGATTCTGTAGCGTCTTGTGTGTCTTGGTAGTTAGGTTGTTCGGTTGTATAAAAGTCGTGAAAGTTCCAATCCAGATAGTCGTTCTATGTCTATACGTTTCCTACAAGTCATAACCATCAAGTCTTTCTCTCTTCCCCATTATCCTTTTAACAACCTGCCTAGCCGTTACGTGCACTCAGTCAAGCCTGAGTCACATCTTCAGCTCCATCACACAGCACTCACAACAACCCAACCCTCTCCACATAGCCCCTCAACCTCTCCTCCACCCTCTCCCCATTCCATGTCTCCCTCCCCTCCCCATCCATCCCCAGCTCCGGCACGCCCACCTGCTCAATCGCAAAACTCGCTGCCACGCTGCCCCAAGCACACGCCTCCTCGATGCTCTTCCCCCTCGCCAGTGCCACCGCCAACCCTCCCAGAAACGTGTTTCCACCTCCCGTAGGATCGACCACCTTGGCAGCGTCCGTGTGATAAGCAGGTAACCACCTCTCTATCCCCGGATCGACCTCGATCCCCTCGACATCGAAGCGACCGAACGGGTCATCATCATTTCCTCGGTCTTCCATGTCCTGCAGCAGGCCGGCGAAGAGAGACATCATGTCTGTGTCGGGCTGTAGACCGCCGTGGAAGTTTCGGGCGTCTAGCCCTAATACCTTCTTTTTCTTCCCCCCATTCCCCTTCCCCTTCCCATTTTTCGTCGTTTTAGGTTGTGGTGATTTCCTCCTCCGCTGCCCCCCATTCCTAGCAACATAACACCCTTTCTCCCCTGCTCTAATCACCAGCGTGTACGTCGTCAGCGGCATGCTGGCCAGCAGCTGCTCGCAGTTGCGCTCCACTTGCTCGACGCTGATCTGGCCCGTCTCGGGGTCCAGACCGCCCGTGCCCATGAACCCGGCTAGCTCGGCGTGGTTGGGACTGCAGATGTCGATTAGCGGGAGGGCGTTGGTGCAGTTGAGTAGCTCGAAGGGGGTACAGAGGTCGGGGACTGGTTCCCATATTATTAGGGGGCGGGTGTAGCCGCCGTCGTTGTTGTCGTCATCTTCATCGTCGTTGGCATTGGAGGGGGGGCGGGAGGCAGCGGCGAGCCGGGCTTCCCGCTTGCGAAGGGTGATGATCTCCTCCACCAACTCTTTGCAGCGGTTGGGGCTGCAGACCATGTGTACAGCCTTGGCTTTCAGCAGGGGGGTTCCGGCCAGGTCGGCGGCCGTTAGTCGTTTCTTGGGGGTGGTGTACTTGAATTCGCGGCGCTCCGAGGAGTCGACGTAGCCGTTCCAGCCCCGGGTGGTGAGCCGGGTCGGGTCATGTCGGAACACGGCAGAGGTGGACCAGCCGTTGATGAGATCGGTGATGGCCTGGGGAAAATCGGAGCCCTGGTCGACGATCCAGCCCACGGTGCGGGAGAGGTCCGGAGCTGGGGAGAACAGGCGGGCGCCGAGGGCGGAGTAGGAGCCGGCGCCTCCTAGGACGTTGGTGGATGGGGGACGGGGTGGGGGGTATTCGATTTCATCTACCAGGTTGGTTAGTTGGTGCTTGGTTGTGGTTCCTGGGAACGGGGGTGTTTTGGTTAGAACCTACCGATGATGAACATGCCAAGAGTGACAAAGTCTATTGAGGGAGTGTCGTTGATATCTTGCCATTCTGAGCTCTCGTCGGAGGCTTTGTCGCTATCGTTTGGACTTTGACCGGGCACTTCCGGGTTGCCGTTGTCTGCCATAATGTTCTCTATCGTGACTATAAGAGTAATGAATGAATGGTGAGTGACGCTTGAAAGGAGTATGTGTAAGTACGGCCCAGCACAAGGGCAAGCGATGTGCGAGTGGGAGTGAGCTAAGTGAGTGACACCGAAAGGGGTTATGAGACTGAGACACCGATGGAGGGATGAAGATGGAAAGATGGACGCGTGGATGAGTGATGTGGCTACTGGCTACTGCTAGGCTATTGCTAGTCTGCTATCCCTGCCCGACCATCAGGCGGCATAAACCACGATGAGGCTGATATCTTGATAACTCGACATCTTATTAGCTAGAATATGCTATCTGGGGTAGGTTTATCACTGCAAGGCGTATTAATGGTGAAAAGGGATCTGAGTTTATCGGATCGAATCTGTCATCTGGATTGTCGATACCTTGAACAACTGCTTGCGTAGATATACTTACGTCAGTCTTCAGGCATCAGCATTACCGTCATTATATATACAAAGGTCAACAGGCAACGAGATCTTGAACCAGGAGAGTTCTTGTTGTTGGTTCAGTTGAAGTAGCACGATACGACTTCTTGTTGTGGCTTTTAGTGGCCGTACACTGAAGAGTCGTGAGAATGGCCAGCAAGGTGTTCATGGAGAGTGGCCCGAAACGCGTAATTTTAAAGATTGGATGAGACGACCCACTATGACCCCACTATGAAGCTTCATCGTGGGGAAGCAGCTCATCAGCGTGCGTCTACAGAAGGTGTGCCCCGTAGTGTGGCCGCCCGTACAAGCATGGCAGGCGCCAGGGGCAGACGCTAGGGGGTGTGACGAGGGGTTCCAATCGACGCCGTCAGCTTGTCAGCCCGTCAACCTCCAGACATCCCATGTTCCAGCCCAGCAGATCTTCAACTACACCTTCCCCGACCTCCTCCTCGCTCAAGTCTCGGGACCCTTTCCTTCTTCTTCTTTCATCTAGCGATATATTTTGTGTTCTTTGATTATACGGCACAGCGCAAAAGGTAAGTGCTTCCCATCCAGAGCCCTTAGACGATACCTCTCTGTTCTGCATCGAGCTCTCTTCCACCGGAGGCACCCGGGCCTGCCCACTCTGTCTTCACATCGAAACTGGATCGCTAATACCGCAAGTTGGCCCTGCAGTTCTAATAAGAGAGTACACATTGCTCCTTCCAACCTTCCATATCACTCGAAATCGAACTCTACGTTTCCAAAGTCCCGCCCCAAGGGACCATCATAATCACAATGGCGACCAACAACATGCACAACTTGGTCACCTTGATCAAGAGGTACGCTTCAGCTCTCTTAACCGCAACTTGATATCGCCACACCTACGAACAGTTGCTTTTTTTCTACAACACCCTTATTGTCCATCATTTCCCTGGCGCATCGTTAGCCATGTCGATTCCATGGGAGCCGCTGTACGGCTACGACGAGGAGGGGCCTGTCCCCGAACAACGAATGCGCCAGGAGGATCGGCGCGAATCGAAAAAGACTCCGAGTGATTAGTTGTCAACGCACATTGCTAAGTACTTGCGCAGACTTGAGGCGGCTACCCTCCGTCTGGAGGATATGGCTTCGTCCACCATCCCCCCTATCGGCTCCCAGACCGTCATTGAGCCAACTCCCTCCGCCCCCGCGTCCACTGTCGTGTCCACTCCCGCACCCGCTACGCCGCCCGCAGTACCAATTCCCGAATCTGTCGAGAGGTTCGACGAGTTCTTGAACCAGACCGTTCAGAAATATGTCAAGACCAGCAATGTTATCGGTGGCTTGGTTGCTGAGCAGGTACCTACCCAGCACAGTTCTGGAACGATTTCGTCGGGAGAGAGCGAGAAGTTGACCGTTATAATTAGGCTGCGTTTGTTCTCAAGGGTTTTGTCGAGACGCGCAAGTTCCTCCTCGCCGCCTCCCAGTCCAAGAAGCTCGACATGAACTCGGCCGACTTCCAGGAGGCTATCAAGCCTATCAGCGACGCCATCCAGGCCGCTCAGGAAATCAAGGACAAGAACCGCGGTTCTCCCTTCTTCAACCACCTCGGCATGGTGGCCGACGGCATCATGCTCCTCGCGTGGATCACTGTTCAGTCTAGGCCTCACAAGCTCATTGATGAAAGCCTTTCCTCTGCCGAGTACCTAGGCAACAGAGTCATGCAGGCAAACAAAAACACTGATCCCCAGCATACCGAATGGGTCAAGACCTTCTACCAGATCTTCAAGGACTTGTCGGAATATACCAAGGAGTACTACGACAACGGCATTGTGTGGAACCCTAACGGCAAGTCTTACAAGGAGGTTGTTCAGAGTCTTGACTCCGGCAGCGCTCCCTCTGCACTACCCGCGCCTCCAGCCCCAGCCGGAGGTGCTCCCCCTCCGCCCCCTCCTCCTCCTGGACCTCCCCCGGTGCTCAAGATCAATGAGCAGAAGGCGGAACCGGCCCAGGCCGGTGGTTTCAGTTCCCTCATGTCTGAGCTCAACAAGGGCGAGGCAGTTACAAAGGGTCTCAAGAAGGTCGACAAGTCGCAGATGACACACAAGAACCCTTCTCTCAGGGTGGGATCAACCGTTCCCGATGGACCAGCGACACGTTCCAAGAGCCCTGCGCCCCCTGGAACCAGGCCGCCCAAGCCTGAGAGCATGCGTGCGAAGAAGCCTGCAAAGAAGGCGCTCGAGGGCAACAAGTGGATCATCGTAAGTTTTCTAACCGGACGTTCTTTTGTGTATAGGGTTCTAACAGCGCTTCTAGGAAAACTACGATGCTGCCGCTGGCAACGTCGAGATCGAGGCCTCCATTTCCCAGTCGATCCTCATCAGCAGGTGTAACGGTGTCGTCATCGTCGTCAAGGGCAAGGCCAACGCTGTCAACATCGACAACTGCGACAAGGTGTCGCTTATCGTGGACACTCTTGTCTCGACTGTCGACGTTGTCAGGTCCAAGAACTTCCAGCTTCAGGTCAACGAGACGATTCCCACCGTGCTCTTGGATCAGGTTGAGCAAGCCACGATCTGGCTGAGCAAGGAGAGCATCTCGACAAGGGTGTTCCAGAGCAAGACGGACAACGTCAACATTATGGTTGTGGACGAGAACGACGATTCCAAGGAGCTTCCTCTTCCCAGCCAGATTTGCTCGTACTATGATCCCGAGAAGAAGGAGCTTATCAGCGAGATTGTTTCTCACTGTGGTTAAATCATGTGTCATCATCGTTGCTTAGTCGAGAGAATGCCGGGAAAAGGGGGTAGCTTGATGCAGGATGGCGTTTGGTTCTGATCGTGAGCGTTGTTGTTACATATTCTTCAACCTACATAATAGCATGCCTTGACTTGAATATCAATAGATGGCATGTTCAGAAGCCAATGTGGAATCAACTTCAATCCCGCAGATCTACTGACTCGACGTTATCCATCGTCGTTTTCAAGAACTATATCATCCCATGACATTCCGATTTTAACTGAAAAACGCCAAACCCCTTTGCCTATCAATGACAAAACCTGGCTGTTTATGACATGACTCTCTGTCTAAACCATATCCGCCACAATACTTTTCTCATCCATATCTATGATCCACATAAATTCATCTCTACCCATTTCCTAAGCACAGCATCATCGACTCAGTGTTTACCTTCCCAGTCCACTAGACTAGATCTTATAAACCAATTGACCATCGGTATACCTATCATCAAACAGCGTTAGCATCACTCCTCATCAATCATTCACTCAAAGAAAGTGTTCACTCACATCAACTGATTCCTCTCCGTCATCTCCCTCAACGCCTGCAGCGCTTCCTCCTTCTCAAACTTTTGTTCTCCACCCCTCCTTCCTCCAGGAATCTTCTCATTAACAGCCTTAATCAACTCATCCACATCCGCTGCATCGTCCTCGAACAAGTCCGAGTTCAACAACGGGCCGAGAGCGCGACGGAAGACGTCAAGACGGTGTTCGCTTATTGGTGCTGGCTCTTCGTCTTCTTCCTCTTCCTCTTCTTCTTCTTCTGGGGCTGAGGGGGCTTCTTCGCCGTCGACGTCCATTTCTTCGTCTTCGTCGTCGACGTTCAGGCCGGCGGCACCGGAGGCGAGCTGGCTTTCTTCGTCTTCATCTTTGTTACCACCGGCGGTGCCGCCAGTGCGACGAGAGGAGCGTTGAGAGCGGGTGGAGCGGAGTTGCGAGGCGGGAAGGGAGGAGGCGAAGGATGGTTGTGAGTCACCGCCGGCACCGGCGGTGCGAGAAGATCTTGTTGATCGTCGGGGGGTGGCGTCGTAGATGTCTTCTTCTTCTTCTTCCTCTTCGGGAGTGCCGTTGGCGTTGGCGGAGGAGGAGGAAGTGCCATTGGCGGGAGTGCGCCGACTGGCGCGCTGGGAAGCACGGGATGCCCTGTTAGCGGCGCTGGAGCGAGCAGCGGTGCTACCGCGGCCGTTGGTGGTGGTGGTTTGAGTAGCCACGTCGCCGTCGTCGTCATCGGAGCCGTCAGAGCCCGAGGACATGCCATCCTCGCCCTCGGCGGGCCGGGTCTTTCTGCGCTTCTTGCGCGATTCGTCCTGGACGACCTCCTTGAAGAGGGCAAAGCGGAGGATGGACTCGGCGGCGGCGGCGTCGCGCTCCTCGACGCGGTTGGACAGGCGCGCCTTGGCGTGGGCGGTGGCCAGACGGATGAGCGTCTCGAGGGTACGGACCGTCATGGGCGACGTCTTGCGCTGGTTGCCCTCCATGTCGTCGTTGCGCAGGCCGACGTAGATGTCGGCGATGCGGTCGGAAGCTTCTTGGGTGAGGACGGGCTGGATGCGCGTCTTGGCGTATTGGATGTACTTCTTCATGAAGGGGATGCTGAGGATCTCGGGCTTCTTGTTGGCGGAACCGCGGCCGCTGGGCACCTTGATGCCGGCGTGCAGCATGGCGTCGTACTTCTCCCACATTTCGGTCGGCTTTTGGGACTCGGATTGCCCGTTAAGGGCGACGTTGAGGGCCTGACCGGCATTCTCGCGGACAGGAGCACCCTCCTCGGTGCCGGCCTGGCGGTAGCGGTGCATGCGGAGGACGTGCTCGGATACCTGTCTGTCACGGGTGTCCTCGATGTCGTCGGTGACGACGAAGAGAAGATCGAAACGCGACAGGAGGGAGTCGGGCAAGGCGATGTTCTTGTGAGGGTCCTTGTGCGTGTCGTATTGTCCAAAGATGGGGTTGGCCGCGGCAATGACACTGCAACGGGCGTTGAGCGAGGTGTGAATACCAGCCTTAGCAATGGTAACTGTTTGCTGTTCCATGACTTCGTGGATGGCAACACGATCAATGTCTGACATCTTGTCGAACTCATCGATACAGACGACGCCACGGTCAGCCATAACCATGGCACCAGCCTCCAGACGACGCTCGCCAGTCTCCTTATCGGACGTAACGGCGGCAGTCAAACCGACACCGGACGAACCACGACCAGTCGTGGCAATTGCCAATGGAGCAGTGTTGAGCACAAAACGAAGGAGCTGAGACTTCGCCGTGGAAGGATCACCAACCATCAGGATGTTGATGTCACCTCTCAAATGTGTACCGTTCTCCAGGTTCTTCTCCATGCCGCCCAGCAGCATGAGCAGGATAGCCTTCTTGATGTAGTCATGTCCGTAGATACTGGGGGCAAGCGATTGTGAAAGCAACTCGAAAACTTTTGGCTTCTTGGCGATCTTGTTGATGTTGCGAATATCGGTATCGGTAATGGTAGCCGTAGCCACACCACCACCAGATTTGGAGGAAAGCAGAACGATGTTGTTGGCCAGAATGACGGTCTTGAACAGGGCGCTATTATGGTTTGTGTTTCTGTTACCCAACGTCCGGAAGATACCGACGAGCTGGATACGGTCGCCAGGCTTGACGCGGTCTACCAGGTCGTCGTCGAGAATGACATCGACGCCTCGGGGCAGCTGACCAGCAGGTGCCCTTTCCGGCATTTCCTGAATGGAAATAGTCTGATGATCGCGGTAGGTCGAAAAGCCGTATTCGGTCTCGAGCGGGTTGCCCTCCTCGTCTTCGCGCGGGTAGACGCTGTTGGTGACAATGCCGTTCGTCATGGTCTGGTCGCGGTACTCGCGGTAGTGGAATGTCTTCTTGGCTTCGCTGTAGTGTACGCTCTTGACAACCTTGGGGCGGATCAGGGACGTCCTCGTTACAATACCCTCGATCGAAACCATGCTGTTGAGGTGTTGGGAGGACAGGGTCCTAGGGTTGCAGGTATGTAGACCAAAGCTTCCAGCCCAGGCACAATAGTACAAGACGTCGGGGTCTATTTGATCGGGGCGGGCGTGTGGGACGGTGCTGACGATGGTCTTGAGCGCATGGTTGAAGGCGAGGGTCCAGTTGAAGGGATCGGTAAGTAGGCCCTCGGCCATCTCAGAGCTGTGATCGCGGACATGATCGATGTTGACGACGAGTCTCCTTTGGTTCTTCTGGAGCATCAACACAATGTCTGGCCTGTAGCTTCGCTGGTGCTGGTCATCTGTAGGTAAGGTTCCCGGTCAGTTTTGTCCCAATGCTTCGGTCGCAGAGAGCTTCAAGCTTCAACGTACGAGGATCGAGGAACTCTTGGGCCTGGCGCACGCGATCGCGTACGGCCTCGTCGCGGAGGGCATTGTAATCCATCTTGAAAGTATTAAACAAAAGTACAACTCTTCAAGCCAGCGTCACAGACGGGAAACAAAAGCAACAATGGTCGGACGCGGAGTAATGGTAGTCGTGGTGGCCTCCGTTCTTGTCGTCCGAAATGGTTGTTGGAAAGGAAGACTCGAGATGTTTTGTTTGGGCGCATGCGCTTCGCTTTGCGGAGCCGCCACGGAAAAGTGACAAAACAAGACGATACGTTTTTAAGTGGAAAACGCGTCGACGACACGCGAGTCGCGCTAAACCCCTTGCTTCAGACAGGGGGCTTAATTGATACAAGCGGGGCTGTACCTGATACCGTATGTACACCGCACTGGCATATTGGAAGCTGTATTTTCCAGTATCTTACCACTTACACCATCTTCCGTCCCTTTAGACTTTTCCTCCGTTTGCGATTACCATCGATTAGAAATCAACTACTGTGTACAAGTGTCACATATTTCAAGTCAACTTTCTCATATTTTCAATTGTTCAACTCTATCCTTTTGGCCCTTCCAGACTCGGTCAGCTTTCCTGGATGGCTCGGCGGAACATGTTCACTAGGTGCTCCGCATGCCCCCTGATCCCGTACTGGCTGTGGCAACTATTCAGTTAGGCAACCCCATGCTGTGTTGCCCCGGAAACGAGAAGAGAGGTCAACAGTGAAAAGGGTGAGTATGGATAAGCCTATGTCAGCAGTGTTGATTATAAGCATGTGTACTTGGAATACACTTGTGCCTCCCAGCCTCTGAATTACAAGCTCACACTTTGTACCATAGCTATGTGGCAGTAACGACCATGGGACAGCATCTGCTAGGTATTTTTTTCAGTGGACGACCTGAGTGGAACTAAGTGATCAGTACCACTGTGTGAAGCTATGAAAAGTAGCCATGAGTGCTTGAGCTTGGTTCATCTGTTTTTGGAGCCTCTAACCCACAAGGCCACAAGCCAACGTAGGGCTTTTGCAAACAAAGATCACCGGTAATAACAAGGTTATCATGAGCTTGGGTATAGTCGAGCAAGTCCGGTGTAAGCCTGACAATGATGCTCGACGGCTCCCAGCGAGAGGGTGAGAATGCCATCCTGAGTTCGCCTCACTATCTTTGGAGGGCCCTCATGGCCAATGTCTTCACCGGTCCGGTAGGGAATGCTCCTAGCCGGCCCTTACTGCCCTACATCCGTTCTTCTCGTGGCAGTAATGTTTGAGGTTCCGCTCAACTCCTGCAACGGCTCAACGCATCCTTCGGTTCCTTTATTTTCCCGTGGTTCTCGTACCCGACTAAAGCCCATCCCCATCGGGCTTCTACCGTAAAATGTTTTGTGTGTATTGTTCCGATTCCCCTGTTGCTCACTTGAGCCGTCGTTGCCCGCTTGCTAGGATGGCTATGGTAAGTTAGGGTCATCAACTTCATGCCGTTCGCCATGAATATGATACGGCATCCTCTCGTCTCCCGCTATTCTAGTCGTATGATGTCTTCGAGGGGCGGGACGAAAAGCATCCTTATTGACAGCGAAGTGTGCTGTTGTGGTCCATGTCGTACAGCTCCGTCATCCAGGCACAGTAATTGGTTCCCGATGGACTGGAACGTCTATCGGAATGACGCGGTTCGTTACAGTAATCCGCTGTGACTGCCGCCGTAAACGGGAAGGGGTCTCATATTTTTCATGCACCACGGGATGGACTGCCACAAACCCGGCCGGTCGTCCAATCGAAGTGTCGGGTGGCCTTCCGGTTGCTTCCCGAGCCTTGGATAGCCGTCTGACTTTCTGTTGAACCGGGAACAGGTTTGACTCGATGTTCCAGTCTCATGCCGAACAGCCGTTGTGAGAAGGAGCGGTAAGCGTCGGTTTATCCCGTATGGATGAGCAAGTTGCCGTCATGAGCAACGTACGGAATGATTATTACCCGGACTGCACTCAGAGGCCTTATGAGGATCAATAGTTTGGCTCCTTTGGGGTGATATATCTGTGTGATGCCTCTTTTTATGTGATCAGCAAGGATTTCAAAAGTCTGACCCAACAGTGCACTCGACCCGATCATGACGTTCGTAACAGCCAGGAAATCAATATTAATTACCCCCTGGAACAAGCCTAAAATCCAAGGGGTGTTCTGGTATGCTTGAGGTCAGCATCTGGATAATGCACCAGGACAGAATAAGAAGGTATCGCGAGCCTCGCGAAGATGAAGGAGAGATCTTCGGTGTAGAATCATCCGCAAGCCTTGGAAAACCAAGCTCAATGTTTCATTTGCATATGCTGGTATCGTGCAAGGTTAGACGAGGAGGCTGAAGTAAGACAAACCACGATCCGGCACCTAGTGTCCTATGATATTCAGTAGCCTTGTTACACAAGGGTGCGACCTTAGATGGCTTCAACAACACATCCGACGAACGACAGCCTAGGCACATAGCCGTGGCATCGGCACTGGCGGTCACACCACCAAGCAAATGGCCTCGTGGCACAGCTGATGTACTTCGAAGGGAAAGGCCGCTGCCCGACTACCGTTGATGCTAGGTACAGCTCACGAGGACGAGGGCCGTAAACAACGCTATTGTTCAAAGTCAGTGATGAAGTCGATTTTTCGACAGCCATCGAACCCGACAAGAACATGTCTGATTGCAAGCTGATCAGTAATCACTGCTTCCATTTCGAGTTGCGCTTCGGTAAGGGTTGTGGCCAGTGTCGTGATATTTCGATGCATCCGTAGCACATGGGATGGCATCGTCAGCACTAGGCAGGTGCGTTTTATTGGTATCTGTAGAGAATATCAAGTTCGGGTCAGCGCACAGGAAGCTTGTGTCGGTCTAGGTGACAACCTTGAAGGCTAGAGGAGATATCATGGAGTAGTAGGCCCTCGGCCGGCGCCATCAACAAAGGCCTGCATCGGCAGCGGCGACAGATGGGCGTGCCGATGGTCCGTGCCAACCGTCCAGGCCCGAATAGGGCAACCGAAGAAGTGAGGTTAATCCAATGGACACCAGATAAAAATTGACTGGGCTGAGAAAGACCCAGGTGAGCGGCAGAACACGTTTTCGAATAGTTCCGGAAGCGGGAACGTGTGGCAATCAAGAGACACACAGTTCTCAACCAAGCCTGACCCCTTGGTGAAGTGTAAACGTGTGGTTATTCGAAGCTGGGTTGAGATAATGCAGAGGTTATGTGTGACAAAGAGAATGGTCTTCGCCTTCGGGAAGGGTTTCGCGCACAACGTTTGACCGAGATCGGGACGCCGAGTCGACTTGTTGGCCGCTACCCCTCATTGTTTTATGCCGAAAGGGGCTCCAGAGTAGGATTCTCCATGATAGGCACGATAGAGTACCTCTGCCATAGTTAGTTGGTACAGTGATGGAGCTTCTGTTACACAACCACAACAACAACTCGAAGGCATTGAAGGCGGGAGACCGCAGCCCGCTTGTTGCACGTGGTACACGTATAACTCGTGGTTTATACCCTTCAAAGTCTGTACACATCTCGTCTGGGCCGGTGATGCCATTGGCAAACGGGCAGGTTAGGTATAGGGCGCACCAGATGGACCAATGCTGGCTCAAACACGCCTCTCCATGCACCTCATGTCTGCCCAAACCCTCGTTTGTCACGAGGAAACACTTACATATGCCGTACTTTAGCACACTTTGGTACGCTGGATGACGGGCGACTAGCCGGGGGTGCCGCAGTAAAGTCCACGTATCATGCTAGAACCCGCTGATCCACATAGCTAAGGCTTGGTCGAGAATGCAGTCCGGTATCAAGCAGCAAACGCTCGCACCGAGAATAGCACTGCTGTATCCGGCAGTTCACGCGAGCCATCCGATATCTGGGCCCGTCATGCAGTGGATGCTTGTTATTGATGGGCTGGGCTGGGCTGGGCCTCGACTGTCCATGCTGTTCAATCGACCGATGTGCGAGCGCTAAGCCCAGCAGGACTTTGAGTATATATAGATAAGGCAAGAGTCCGCCTTTGAGCAATATGCTTCTCTTTGTATCCACCACAAGACGCACACACTTGGTCCTTCGCACCCTCGTCTATTCAAGATCCAAGTCAAGCTTATACTTCCGACATGGTACTGATCAAGCTCGATTCAACGGTGGGCGCCATGGATGCCACGGCGTCTTCCAAGGACTCGGCAGTTCTTCATAGGCATCTGGACTCGACGTTTTTGAACATGACGAGGTCTGAAGGAAACTTTCTGATCCTCGAGAACGGCCGCAAGATATTTGATGCTTCGGGAGGCGCTGCGGTCGGTTGCCTTGGCTGGGGCAATCAGAGAGTTGCTCAAGCTGTCACAAACCAGGTACTTGCCGCACCGTACTGTGCGACAATTTTCTACACCACCAGGGTCCAGGAAGAGCTATGCCGCGATTTGGTCCAATCGACGAATGGGGCTATGGCGCGTGCTTATATCGTCAACTCAGGTAAGGCGATCACCTCCCAACTTCCCCAACAGCAACTGACATTTCCCAGGCTCTGAGGCAATGGAGGCGGCTGTGAAGCTCGCCAGGCAGTACTTCCTTGAGATTGACCAGCCACAACGGACCCTGTTCATTTCCCGGAAGCAGTCATACCACGGCATCACTCTTGGTGCACTAGCCGTTGGAGGCCACGAGGTTCGGCGGGCCAAGTTCGAGCCACTCTTGGCAAAGAATGTCTCGAGAGTATCGCCGTGCAACGCATTCCGCGGTAAAGCCCCCGGCGAGTCAGATGAGGACTACGCGAAGAGACTGGCCAAGGAGCTCGATGAGGAGTTTCAGCGAGTAGGACCAGAGAAGGTTTGCGCTTTTGTCGCTGAGCCCATTGTTGGAGCTGTAAGTTGTCTCACATATTCCTTGTTTGCGAATGCTAATTGTTCGTTTGCAGGCCCTTGGATGTGTGCCTGCTGTCAAGGGCTACTTCAAAGCTGTAAGGGAGGTGTGTGACAAGCATGGCGCACTCTTGATCCTTGACGAAGTGATGTGCGGCATGGGGAGGAGCGGTACCCTGCACGCATGGGAGCAAGAGGGCATTGTTCCAGATATCCAGACCATCGGAAAGGCCCTTGGGGGCGGTTACCAACCCGTAGCTGGCCTACTTGCTGGCCATCGCGTGGTCAAGGCTCTTGAAAAGGGCACCTCGTAAGTTATCTCCTCGACGGCCAAATGGTGACAAAGTGCTGACTGAAGCCAACTAGTGTTTTCGTCCATGGTCACACATACCAGGGTCATCCTGCCGGGTGTGCCGCAGCCCTGGAGGTGCAGCAGATTGTTCGAGAGGAGAACCTTTTGAGCAATGTTCGGACAATGGGCGATCTTCTCTCGAGCAGGCTGCGTGAGCTCCTCGCAAGCCATCCGAACGTCGGTGATATCCGCGGTCGGGGTCTCTTCTGGGGCATCGAGTTTGTCGCGGACAAGGAGAATATGGCCCCATTCCCATCGGACGACCATGTTTGCATGGAAATCTGTGAACTGGGACTGACTGACAAGTATGGGATTAATGTGTATCCAGGCGGGGGATCAGTTGATGGATATACGGGCGACCACATTATCATCTCGCCAGCCTTCAATGTCTCGCGCGAAGATGTCGAGTGGATCGCGGCGACGGTAGGCCGGCTTGTGTCTGAATACTTTACGGCAAAGGCCAGGGCTTGATGCTGTTTCTCCTTTCTTTTTTTTTCCCTTCCGTAGATTCGGACTGGCATTCAGGTACTTGACGGGCATGGCCTTGGTTACGGCGTTTGCTGATGGGTTTTGCACCTTTTTCCTATGGGGACAAGGAGGGTAATGGCTTTCTCTTGCCCAAAGGAAGTCGAGCTAGTATGACCCATGATTATCGTAGAGTTCAAATGATCATTGTTGTAAATACGTCATATTGAAGGTTGAATCTGTGAGGTCTGTTGACTGTTGCTGTTAAAACAAGGTCGCCTCGGTGAGGCTGAGAGTGGATCAGAGAAACCGGAGATTGGAATAGTTGCATGAGATTTTCAGATCTGACCATGCGTCCCGTCATTCTGGAAGGAAGGAGGAAAAAAGTGACGAGAGCTTTTTCTGGGATTCGGGAAGAAGTCCGTAGGGTATCGTGCAATAAGTGGCATGGAAGCCTGGAGCTGCTGCGGGATAGTGGGGCGCTGCTGCAGTTTCGGGCACAGGCCCCGCGTTCACGGGGAAGCGGGGCGGACCTGGGATTGGCGGATCCCGCCTGCCCGCCCCAGACTTTGGGCCCTGTGCTTGGTGGACTTGGAGGTGGTCCGGGCCCTCCGCTAGCGCAATTAGCGAGCGGCTCGCGCCTAGCGTTTAGGGGGGGCCAGGGGGCCACGGCAGGGGCAACTGGGCGTCAAAGGCCTGGCCTGACGATGACCTACCGGGCCGTGCTGCCACATCGACGGACTACTCCCGACTTCCGACTCCCGTTCCACTTAGTACCCATCGTCCTCCGTGTCCGAGTCCGCTACCGATCTCCGAATCACGTACCACATGCCGACGATTGAAGCGCGTAGCGCGTCTTAGCTTGGTTCAGATCGCGTCACAACATTGCAAACATGGCTGTCGGCCTCATCAATGGCCGCCTCGCTGCCGACGAGGAAGCCCGGGCAGAAGTCGACGTCTTGAACTCGCGTCTCGAAAAGACATCACAACTCACAAAGAAGATCCAGGCCTCTCTGGGGAGGTTGGATGCCACCGGCAAGAGTGTCCGGGATGTCGCCGGCCCTCTCAGTGGCGAGACCAGGAAGCTCCAGGTCCTGGGCAATAGCAAGTCACCCGGCCCCCCATTCATCGCCGATGAGGCTAACCGATAATTACTGCATGTAGACATCGACGCCGTCATCGCCGCTATAGAGAAACTACGATCGCCCGCCGACAACAAGGATGACGAAGAACAAATCATGCGCATGGGCCCTGAAAAGGCCGGCCTCTCCAACTACCTGGCGTCCGTCAAGCGCCTGAACAAGGCTTTGAACGACATGAAGGCTTCCAACCTCCGATCAACACAGCAAACCGTCGCCGATCTTCAGCGTCTAGTCAAGACTGGCAATTCCCAACTCGAGAGTTCATTCGACAAACTTCTACGGAGTGAAACCCCCCGAGCCATCGAGCCTTTACACTATCTCACCAAGAACATGCCCTTCCCGGTGCTCTCCCAGGAAAAGATCACCAAGTTAGGTCTCATGAACTCGTACCTTGCTGGGGTACACAAACAGAACACGGGGGCAGGAAGCTCGCAAGAATCGCCTGTCATCAAGATCTATGCTGAAGTCCGGTCTCAGTACCTGCTGTCGACTTTGGGCAACCTGGCTACGGCAAGCACCAACACAGCCAAGAAAAAGACTCCAGAGGCAGTATACAGGGCGGGCACAAACGGTATGGGAACCTACGCCCAGGCCATGGAGGGTCTTTTCCTGGCCGAATACGACAACATCTGCAGCATCTTTATGAGGGAGGACTGGGGTCCTGTCTTCCAGGCAACATGTCAACCGGCGTTGGTGGAGCTGGGCAGGACCCTACGGGAACTGAGCAGCCACATCAAGTCACACATCACCACAGACTGCTTCCTCGCATATGAGATCGTCGAGATCATTTCCGGTCTGTCCAATAACCTTGAGAGCCGGACGGGCGAGCTGAAGAGCTCTCTTGCCGCGGCCCTGAAGCCCATCCGGGAAACGGCCAAATCATCGCTCGTCGACTTGCTCGAGGAGACCAAGCGCCAAGTCAACGGCCTGCAATCGCTGCCCGCGGATGGCGCGCCCACCCAGCTCGCATCACAAACCATGCAGCGGCTGCAGTCCATGGTCGACTTTTTGCGACCCATATCCAGCATCATGATTTCCATTGGCGATGGCGGCTGGAAGTCGGCCGCTGCGTCCAAGGGAGGAGCTACCGATACCATTCCCAGCCTCGCTTCGTTCGACGTCGGTGCGGACGGGCAAGAGATCTTTGCCCACTACTGTGCCGACACCATCGAGACCCTTCTTTCTTCGTTGGACGCCCGTGCTCGTGTCCTATTGCAGCAGAAGAAGGCAGTCATTGGCGTGTTCCTGGCCAACAATGTCACCATCATTGAGCGTATGATCAATGAATCTGGCCTGGCAACCCTTCTCCAGTCTCGGCTACAAGTGCTAGATGTATGGAGGAAGAAGGCCACCGCTCTCTATACCGAGACCTGCAAGGAAATTAGTATCCATCTGTTTGATACGGTCCACACCAGCCGCACCGCGCGCCCGGGCTCGGGTCAGGGCATGGTAAGCTCGGCATCGATCATGAAGGGTCTCAGCTCCAAAGACAAGGAGAAGATCAAGGGCATGTTCACGGCCTTCAATTCCGGCTTTGAAGAAATGGTCGCCCGCCACAAGCAATTCGCCATGGAGAAAGAGGTGCGCCAGATGCTTGCACAGGACGTCCAGCACATGCTCGAGCCGCTTTACAACCGATTCTGGGATCGTTACCACGAGATCGACAAAGGAAAGGGCAAGTACGTCAAGTACGACAAAGGGTCGATCGCTGCTGTTTTCCGCAGCCTTTACTGATTACGTTCCCCTCTCCACGGGGCGTTCGGACCACGCCTCTATCCGTACAGTGCAATTGCACTCTGGTGCCGGTGGTGGAATCACTACGCAACTGCGAGAATATGAAATCCCCATATCTATCCCGTACCTGCTTACATGAACACATATCCGGACTCCTGAACGGTTTAGGGAGGTGGAGTGCGACATACTAGGAGACCGGCAAGACATCAGGCCATGATTGCGTCTCGTGCATGCATCCTGCCCTTTGATAGGGGGGGTGGAGGATCTCGCAAGGCTAGCCCATTGCCTATTAGCGCCGAATGGCGTCGGCGCCCGCGCCGTTGTCTGGTCTCTGACTGGCGACGGGGATAGGGCAGATGGGAGAGGTGGCCCGCAACGAATTACCCCAATCGGGAACGCATGTGCGTGAGGTTAGATTGGGATTACGGATTCGCTTTGGCCTGCGCATTATTCATGGGGGGTTTGGACGATTCGCATGTTTCATGACCGATGAACGGGGCTGAGGGAAAGAGAAAGGAAGCATGGAAAAAATCATGAGTGGGTAAAGGTTGCCTAGCCTTCCCCTCATGGGCTTGGTTGATTTGACTGAACTAAATTGTTTTCTGGTAGGATTCCGAAGATACCACATTTTACGGAGAACGGCGTTATGTTTTGGACGGTATTCAGCTCGACTTATCTAAAACACTATCTTTTTCATCTTTCGTTGTATATACATTCATTTAATCATGTCTTAATTACAATAATGTCATGCGAGAAGGCGTACCAGTGCGCCATCAGGAAATTCCACCTTCATATTGAGCTGCACCTTCTCAACTACCACAACAGCCAGCCGCATGCAATGGCCCTTGGCAAGAGTACCCGGCCGGCTAAGGCTTCATCCCGTCTGTGGTGTAGCGTATGATTTTAAGCCCGAGCCGTCCGCCCTGTCGTTTGAGGGCGGGGAACAGTGGGATAGGTTCGGTCGAGTAAGAGGAGGGGAAGTGGGAGGAAGTGAATGAGCATACGGACATGCGAGTAAGTGCTAGGGCTTTTTGTCACTCTACCATTCCCTGGGCTGGATGACTTGGATGGAAGACCCGATCGTTGGAGGGAACTCTCGGTGGAGTTCTGGTTCGGTAACAATGCTTAATGTATCGAGGTACCTGAACCTGTTCCCTTCGGGAAGGAACTATTCTGGGCACAAAATCAGAGCAGGAGCGCTGGGGCTGGACACACGATCTCTCTTTCCCCCAAACCTAGAGGTAACATTGCACTCCCGTTAGACCTACCGAGTGCACCTACCACATTCTCATCAAAAATATGCACCATTCTACCATCAAAAACAGGTTAATGCTTCAGTTCTCTTTCTGTTTCCATTTCTTCCACCTATGCAACCTCAACGTTGCGTGTTATGCATCTCTAGGCTGTCTATGCTTTTGCCACAGTAGATCGAGGGACCGGGGCAACGGTTTGGATATAGAGGTAGATACGACGTCCTCAGGATTCTGTGATGCTCGGACCAGAGTTTATTTGAGGGTTAAATGTAATGTAAGTATTCAGGTTGGGTGCAAGATGGAGTAGTTCGATTCGTACCTTGTGTAGACAAACGAGTATGGACACTGTTGAATAGACAACTCATCCGAACACTCAAAGTCAACCGAACCAGCTCGGCCCGCTTGCTCGGACACTCCCCGCTTCATCGTCTTCAGCCGTCTTTTACCTACCTACCGTCTCCATCCGCGGAGATCTGGGTTGCGGTCCGGGAGGAGTTGGGAAGGGTTTTATCTTCAGGGGCGGGCCCATGTCCATACCAGGGCAATATGCACGTCAGGAGCAAGGGGGGCGTGCTCAACTCCAGTAAAGAAAGGGGACCCGGAGAGGGCAGCGGAAAGTAACTAGTAAGGGAAAGGCAAACAAGTTGTTGCTTTGGGTTTAGAGGAGCATGTTAAGCGAGTGTGAAGCATGTTCGACGACGGCATTATCGTATCATCATTGCAGTGAGAAATTCTAGGGGCTTTCGCGTCGGAAAGCATAGAACTGGGTTGGTGGTTTCAGTTGACTTCCCATGCTTCTTTCTTCTCTTCTCCCGATGTGTTCTTCATATTTGCGTTCGTTGTATCCGTACCCTGACCGAGGGGTTTAGTCCTGACGCTACTGCGGTCGGGTACAGTAGGCAGAGAGGAAGGTAAGGTAAGGTAGGGTAACTAAATGAAAGATGTCCCATGAACACTGTAGGGTAGCAGCAAAGTGATAGAGGCATTGACAGTGTAAAGTGATAATGTTACAGTGACTAAGCCAAACACTGCAGTGAACTAAATCTCAAAGGTCCTCCTTTCCGATTTCCATGACTCCTTCCAAAGTTGCATAATTCCCGAGCATAAGTATTCCCACCCAAAAGCGCCATCCCAACATACTCCAAGCAGGTAAGAAAAAAACAAAACTCTGCTATGCACGACAAAGGGGACAAGGAAATTGCAAGAAAAGCATGACAGGGGCCCGTCCCGCCGAAACAGCCAAAGACAAAGGCAAATATCCCAACAACACCTTTCCGATCCCGACCACCACCACGACGTCGGGTAGGTGGTAACACAACGCCTTGAGCCCCATTTTGAAGTAGGGTTGTACCCCGACCCGATGGGATGTTCTCCCCCCTGCCCTAATATCGTCCGTGAGTCGAGCGCAAGAGAAAACACGACGGAAGCCTCCGCAGACCCCTTGTCATGTCTCAACGCGAGACGGAGAGAGAGAGGAAGAGGAAAAGGAAAACTCCGCAAGACCCGCCCCAGCCAGTAAAGCCAAAAAAGCAACTGTTACGCAAATAGTGAAAAAGTCCACGAACGCCCCAGGTCAAAAAGGACCGGAAAAAAAAATGACTAAAGGAAATGTTGGCGGTGATGGAGGTGATCTCGTCCACCAGATGAGAGGAGCCATGAACAAAAGACAGCTTTTTCCACCTCCGATCGTCGAGCCCGAGCTGAGAAGTACACGGTGGTTGTCAGGCAAGCAGGACGCACATAAAATGCACAAGTTTCATGCATCAGATATGCAGTGTCGTATGCTTGCAAGAGGTGTACTGTAGATCAGACTTGCTTCTGCAGCACGACCGTTGGTTGTTGGCGGCAGTTGAGAGTGAAGGAGGGAGGAAATGTTTGTTTATTCGATTTTCCAGAAGCCATGCATCGCCGGTGAGGAATTAGCGTCGTGAGAGATGTGATGGACGGTTGTAGTAGAGGTAGGTGTTTGGATGAAAGGCCTTGAGGCCCTGTTTTGTCGTTTGCTATGATCCAATGAGTGACTTTGAAGAGTGGCTTCCACCCGAGAACTGGTTAAAGCTGACGGGAAGGAAGCGAGATCAACGAAGCAAGGGCGCCATGGATCGGCCATGGTGAACTTTCGTTGGAGGTTGAAACTTGGAACCGGTGTGGAATTATCTGCAGACTAAGATGACTTGCATAGACTGGGCGGCATGATGCAGCCAGCCCAATCCGGTGGGACAGCCCTGGGACTTCAAGGCTTCAGGATGAGATGCCAGTCTTAGTATGGGCAGCTAGCACACTCGGCGCCCACAGGGCAGTAGTCGTGTGTACCGAAGTCAACTGCCTTGCAGCAGAAAGAGCAGCAGTGGTTGACAAGAGGCTGATACTCCTTGACGGCCATGTTTAATATTGGTTTGATGGTTGAGGATGAGGAAGATGGTTGTTGGTGGTGACTTGTACGTGTGTGAAGACAACTTTTGTGGTTGTGTGGGCTCAAATGTATATTGAGAAGTAGGAGTGTATATATGAGATTGACAAGGTCGAGTTGGATAGAGGCTGATATAGTAGAAGAGAGGATGTATAAAGAGGATGATGATGCTTTCACTTGAAGCCAGAAGCACCTTGAGAGCGGCCGGAAGGCAGTCTTAAATATTTTCGGAGGAAGACGAGGCAGCGTCTGTTTTGGCGGTAGTATTGGACGTGGTGAGCAAGCAAATGGGTTGTTGTGAACAGGCACTGACGAGGTCGACGAAGGAGCCTCTCTTGGCTTGTACGGGTACCTTTTAGACAAGGTTACCTTTGATGTTGGCCAAGACGGGCGAGGATTGGGCATCCTGGAGGCCATCTCCTCAGTAACAAGGAGCGGCAGGGCAGCAAGGGCACCATGATGCCCGTGGGTGAGATGGATAGGCAGTGGGGTGTGCAGATCCTGGAGACGTAGGTAGGTAGCATCGTCCATCGAGTTCCGGCGATATTGAGGGACTGGTTCCGGCTCGATGTCTTCCACTTGGATGGACGTATGAGACGACGCGAGGTGATGATGGGCAACGAACCACGGGACGTACCGTAGCCTAGGACGGGAGAGGGGAATCTTGTCTGAGACCTGGACGCCTGAAAGGAGCCTGCCATATTCTCCATCCCACTTGAAGGGTGCTGCCCTGATGAAAATCCGATGAAAATCGTATCTCACAACATCTGGGACACACAAGTTTGTGCTTGTGCCTTTGCCTTTTGCGTCGTGCGACACAAAAACAGGTACGTAGACCTTCTCGTATACGTACCTGTACTTCTTGGCCAAACACAAAGTCAACCCTAGCTTGTTAATCGTCCGATTCCCCGATGAACTTTTTTTGATGAAAACAGGGGCCCTGCTCATCTTGACGAACGATCATTATGAATGGGGAAATTTCCTAGCTCATTCCGGATGGCGAATGAAACTGCTGCAAAGAGGAATTGACGCTAAAATCCCACAGCAGCTCATGAAATAAAGTTACGCGTGGAAGTCCGGCAAGCGTGCCAAGCCGTTAGAGTCCAGCGTTTGCCATTGACAGAGAAAAAGACGAACACAAAAAGACAGCTTATCGTGAATGCAACTGCATCCAACCGAACCAAACTTTTCAGCGAGAAAAGTCCACCATGTTGATGATGTGACTGTGGGGCGGGAGGGTCACGAGGTAGCAAAATGGAAGCGAATTGGACCTTTGTGCAATATCCAACCTTCAATGACAAGCTCAAGCCACGGTAGGATCTGGTTGCTCGGCTAATAAGTAGAGGTACTTGGGAGGGGTACCTATTCTTATCACACTCGATCCGAATGAGGTCTGGGGAATCCTGAGACCTCTTTGGCTGTCCGACATGATGAATCCGAGGTACATAGCTGGAAACACCCGGTTTTACGTTTGTGTGAAGAGATACGCTCAAGTCTGCCTGCTCATGGCAGCCCAAGAGCCTTATCCTGTGCCATTGTGGCGCAGAAACGTGTGGTTCTTGCCCTGTGCTGCAAATTGGAAACATTCGTTGGTAGTCTGAGCCTCTTGTGTAGCATGCGGATCTGTGCAACCCGGCATTGGGTAGCCCGGACGAGCCGCGACAGGTTTAGTGGTAGTAAGCTCAACGTCGAGGAATTGCAGTCTTGCGTGCGATCACGTCCTGCGAAACAAACGTTTGCTCTTGCGAGTCGTCTTGCCGTTTCTTGCAGTGCCGCTTCATCTCTCGTCAAATATCCTCTATTCTGAGTCCCGTCTCAAGGATCGTGCCGAATACTGTAGTTGTAAATTGCAACAGAAGAGACTGTCGTCGGAGTTGGCACGTTGGTCCCAGAAAATTATCGGTTCATAGCCGATGAGTGGGTGGCAATTGACACTGTATATCAACAATGTCCTTATGCCATACTTCGGAACCTGATTACGGACGTGATGTGCAAAGCACTTTCGTGAATTGGAGTCAAGCAAAGATCGACCCCCAGTCCCCAGACCAGCTGAGGTGAAATGGCCAGGGCAAAGACGGCATGAGGCTAACTGATGACGATGCTAATGCCAATGCCCGTTTGATTTCCGCGAGCGTGTTATTCTTGGATGTCGCAGATATCACGGCGTAAATGTACCTGGCTGTCTGGGACTCTCGGTGTCTGGGTAGGGTACCTGCGGACTCATGCCATAGAGGTACCGTACCTCAGCGTACCTAGGTGACCGTCTCACCGGCCGGCCCTGTTGCAAGGTTAGCACGGGCTACTCAAAATGGAATGTATGGAGACCAACATGAAACGAAACCAATATGGGGACTATGGGGTTCGCGGCAATAATCAATTTGTTTCTTATTAGATGCAGACTGCCTATCAACCCCTCGCATTTCGAGAGTGGCATATTGACCTGGAAAAACTGTTGGCGACGGTGACTTACTAGCAAGTGTTTGCGCGTGATACTGATACTCAGAGTACCAGTGAATATCAGATCATTTTGTTGGATGGTGTTTTGTTCCCTCGTCCGGATCAGAGATGCGTGGGGGTGATGTCAAAACAAAACTCGACCCGAGTCGAAGACGGGAGTTGACAAAGTGAAGTGCGTGAGCAATGTCGCATCTGGGAAGGGCCAAGCGGGGGCTAGAGTTTGCACTACTGCATAAAACACCAAACGTTCTCTAGTGTGCCCTATGGAGTGCTACCCTATGCGCTGCATGACATGGTAACGACGGTACGTACCCCTGATGCCGGTGGGTCCTTGCCCTGAACGACCTCAACGACATGGGATGAACACTTTCCGTCTGGTTCCGTGATGATCTGATTTCCCCAGAACTTGGCAATTGCAATCCAACCTTCTCCTCCCGCCATTACGACGGTACATAGTGGAAGGAACGTACAGTAATGGTGAGAGCCTTCAAAGCGGGGGGGCGCGCAATTACGCTCCTGCACCTCCAGGCGGCTTTGGTGAGAACCTCTCTGGCCAGACGAGGTGTCATCACTCATCGTCCTTTCCTCCTCTCAACCACCAGGCATGTCATCGCGGGAGATGCGGCTATCGCCTAGTGACAGCAAGTGCACCCACTGGCGCAAGAATCGCTGACGAGGCCATTTCGGCGACCTTTTAATCTCGTCTTATCGATTCAACCTCCCCGCATCTCGGTAGGACCGTTTTCAATGGCAGTCACCTCCGACTCGCTTCCCTCAGTCCACCAGCTCCGCCAAGTTATCCAGCATGACTAAGGTATCGACGGAACGGATGTTTGCCGTTTTTCGCTTGAACTTCCGAGTCCACAAACCAAGTGGCGTTTTCTCCCAGGCACGCCAGGACATGTAGTGCAAGGAGATGCCTCCAGAATGCGCTACGCCTTACTCGAGCAAAAGTCAATGAGAGTTCCCGCCAATCATCGAGGCCAATCCCTCAAGGACTTCCCTTGAGCCAAGCAACGGAACGTCTTCATGGAAGCTCTCCCAAGCTCCTCTTTGTCAAGTCCTCTTTTCCTCCTCACGCCAGCCATGGATGGCACTACAGAACTTTGTACATGACCGGTTATGCCTGCTCGGCTACCTACCCACTGTAGGCACCGACACTGTGAGTGTGCCGTCCCGATGGCGTATTCTACGTAGATACACTACTTCATTCCGCTTGATGTAGCATCGCAGCATGGTACCCACGGTAGTTCATCACACACTCAACCCATCAGTTCGCATGGAATCAAACCCACAAATGGTATTGCAGAGGACATCACGATCTATCTCGGCCAATGCTCCGGCTAAGGGATTACGATAGCCCAGTCTCTGCTCCATATCCTTTCGTGCCAGGAGCCAGGGTACTTTTTGCGCAAGCATGAAAGCCCAAATCACAAGTCTCACAGTAGCATCATCAGGCAATCCAACTGGCGGAGACCGGTCTCTCAGTGTCAGCATCTCGGCTTATGCTGGTCTCTCGAGAATGTGTGGACCACGCAAGTATCAAGGACGCCAAACGGGGCCTAACATGATCACGATAGCAGTCGGCACTGGCTCGTACCATGTTTGGACAACACTCGACGTTATACTCTAGTTGGGAAGCCTGAAACCCCTTCCTATCACCCCTTCATCGGTACTTTTTACGAAACTACGATACCTACCGGCTTAGCCAGCCTCACGGAAGAAGCTGAAATTGTGTCTTCCGCTAATGATGCCTTGTTCAGGTCTATTGGTCTTAGCCGTTCAGTGTCCCCTGGCCCGGTCATGCGAACCACGCAACTGCCAGCCGAAACTATACCAAATAGTCCTCCTGCATATCCCCAATCTTATGGCGCCTTCATAATGATCGAGCACTCGGGCAGCAGTCGTCATTTGCAGAAACATGATAGGGCCATCATCAAGATCCCGGTGGTCAAGAGGTATTCCAAGAGCCTGGCAACGAGATTGTCCAGAGCAGGCTGAGTTTGGCAAGGGTATGAATGTCAAAGTATGCCTTCTTCACGAGGTGACGTTCAATCTACTAATCACCATACAGAATCTGTATTGCCAGCAGCGCGGCTTGGGGCCTCAAGCTTGTGTCTTCCTCCTGGCGGATCGTGAAATTTATTCCCCAGTTCCATAGCTGGTCCATAGCCGGCGTAAGCTTGTTCCTTCTTCACCTTAGCAAACACTGACCGTACCCAGTGGATGTGATAGTTACCTGAGACATTGTGTCAGACCAAGACACGAGACCCAAACACCAGCGGATAGCGCCCCAAGAGCAGTTTCCTTCGTTCCATCTACTTACGGGAATGCCTGCTTCGGCTTGCTTGGTGTCTTTCCTACATGGCTTTGACGGCCCTTCTTCAGACGACAACAGTCACTGTCCGTTTGAGGACTCAGATCAGCCGTAGAGATACATACCGCTGCCTTACCGGTACCCACACAGACGATCGGTACAGATCCCGACCTTTTGTGTCTGATCTCAGCTAGGCCCTGCCAAGCTTGTCCAATGTGGACGGGCAATGAGCATGATCGGCATAAGAATTGGGCGTCAATGCCAACAAACCCGGTGCTTTGGTTGCCTACATCACTTTTTCTTTCTTCCGAAGAGCTTTCGTCCGCTGCTTTGAAGCACTGCGGCGAGATGTGAAGCAAAAGCCACAAAACACCTCGGAGATTATGCGCGCACCGTATCTGCAGAAACGGAGATTGATTGGGTTTTGCTGCAGTGTCCGAAGCCAGTCAGACGATCACTCGGCGAGTCGGAATGGGATGTGTTACAGTTGGCTTGGCGAGGCTGTTGATGAGCAGCCAAACAGGACAATATTTCGGGCCATGTACCTGGCACGCCTGGCTGCCTGGCCACTTACACCGGGAATAGTGGTTCAACATCCCAGCCAAACACCCCTACCTCCAGTCGGAGTTCGGCTTCCTAGTGAACCCAAGGGGATGGATGCGAACTGCAAGAGTCCGCCATGGCTCCGATTCAGCCACTGATTGGCCGTTTCTCTAATGTACCAATGCACAAGTTGACGTGCTGCTCCCATTCTTCGGGCCGCCGTCGTTCTCAGCTCGTCTGTGTTGATGAACAAGCACTGGCTGGGGATGTGTTTCTCTTTTCTTTTTCTTCTCTACGCCTGAGACCGGAATCAAATCTGGTAATACCCACCTCTAGGACTCATTCCTGCTGGAAACCGTTCCTGACTTCGCCGTCTATGGTAACAATGGATGTAATGTCTTCTTCTACGACTATCGAGGGAAGATGATGCCAACAATTCGCGCTATCAAAGTCCCCAAACGCTAGCACGATTTCAACCCAATCTATCATGCTAGTCTCGGTCTTCGGAAGTTGAGAATCCAGACAAACAGGCATTTCTCTCTTTTGAAGCTGAGGAGTGTGCATTAAAGGATGATTCAGATTCCCTGATCGACCTCCTTCGGATAGCCTACTCCCTCAGAGCACGACGCGGGCCGGGGTCCCCTGGCCTGTCATCTCTTCTTGATCCGAACCCTATCATACGAAGGTCTTGTCCGCCTTCCGATATTACATCCTTCTAACAAAATTCTGAGCCTTCAATTCCGACGCTGGAAGAGATATACTTGCCGGTTTTCCTTAGTCCCGACAGACCTCATGCTGCGATCTCCAGGATGGATAGCAATTCGCCTCAAACACACCGCAATGCCACTACAATTTGCACCTCTATTCTCTCCTCCGTAATCGAGATTCTTGCGGTGCGAAGTGAATATCTTGGGGGTCTCGTGACGCAGCAGTGTCGATTGCCGTCTTACATTGCCGCGCTATACCCGGGATGGATTTTCTGTCGCCTATCTACAGGACAACATCTGGAGATAGCCTTCATCTTACCCCAGCTTATCTTCTTCTCGATGCATACTGGTATATCGTCAACTCATCCACCCATCCTCGGCTCCATTGCTATTGCGTATATGATCGGTAAACCTCCGAAGAGCTTCGGATAGCGGATGATGCCTCTAATTACATAGGCGAACTCCACCACCGACAGATTGGTTTTCCTCCACTGCCAATAATAGAAACTGGATTCATTATCAATCCTTTCACCTATCGTCATCACCAGTGTCGTCACATGCTCCCGTCGTTGCTGGTCCTGCCAAAAAGGGGGGCTAGAGGGTTAGGGTTCTTCCTTGAGAGTCTTTCCAAGCGTTCTCCTGAATCGAGTACCGACCGACCCCTGTGAGACTGCCAAAAATGGTGACGGTGTGGCAAAAGGGCGTTCAAGGAGAAATCGACAATTTCAATCTCTCCTTTTCCAGTCAGCGAAATCAAGCATACGTCAACGCCAATTTCCTCTATTTCGTCACATGGGTTGAAAGGGAAAGAGGAAGTGACTTGTACTTGCGGCAAAACCATTGGCCCTTGCCTTTTCTGAGCACTTCAGTTGTATGGAGAAAGGATTGTCCCAAGACGCTAACAAAACCCCCCAAAACCACGTTCCGTTCAGCGCTACGCAAGCCTGAAGGCCCTGGAATGGCATCACTTTCCCTTGGTGCTACGCTCTTGAAACCACTTGGACATATGTGTGAACAACTTGCACAATGTCATCAGAATGCGGTTTATCCTCCGTTCCAGTACCGGCGATGATGACATTTCGGGACGCTGTCACGTCAAAGAAATTGAAATCATTATCTACGAACCCCCAAAATGACCAAGTCGTCGTCATCCTGAAGTTTCGGGGTCCTAAATGCCGAGACCACCACCACCGACACCGGCCGGCATTTCCACCGCGGATTGCGGGGCGCGCGATGTGACGATGTCCCGCTTCCCCGCGTTTTTGGAGTTCACTCGTCAAACAGTCCCCGTCCCGTCGTCTTGGACTCTTGGCATGCCTTCGAGAAGAGAACTGAACGGCGGGCGGGTTTACTTTTTGGTTCTTGAAGCGTTGGGTTGCGGGTAGGTGATCCCGAAGCTATTGGACTTGGGTGGGTGTGGTTTTTGTGGCGAGGTTGGAAGTAGGCTTGGTTTTTTTCTAGTGAAGATCTTTGACTTCTTAATGTTGACTGCCCGGCGGAGTGTTTTGCAGCTTGATTATTCTGTAAAGCTTTTACCCATCATCAACCTCTGCGTGTAAACTCCCCTGGATTATCACAACCATTGCCTCTGCCAGTCACACCACCTAACAGTTCTTACATCCTCTCCAGTCTCCTACTTTTACCTACCTATCAATCACCGTCAAGTCGAAAGGAAAACAACAAACAAAGGAACAACACCAACAATGTCCTCCCCCTCCGACCCCTACAAGCTCGTCACCGTCAACACGGCTCCCGACCGCGCCAAACGTCTCATCGGCCGTGTTGTCGAAGACGTCAAGGACAAGTACACCATCATTCATGCCGGCAACGCCGCTTGTGAGTCTTTTTTTTTTCTCCTGCCCCCTGCCATCCCCCCCTTACTCGCTCCTCACACATCACTAACAAAAACCCAACCAAACAGCAATCGAAGAAGTCAAATCTGTAGTCGAAGAACACCAACCCAACGTTCTGGTTCGTTTTTCTTTTCTTCTTCCCAACATTTTTCCACCCGTGTACCCCAACCAAGTGAAGATATAAAGGAAACTAATACAAAAAGCGCAGTTCACGGCATCAATGTGGACTCCCGAAGAAGCTCAGCAGATCATTGCTATTGCCAAGGGGGTGGTCGGCGAGGACCTCAAGACTTTCTCGCTGCCGCAGGGGTTGCAGGTGAATAAGGGACCGGATGCGGTGGTGGAGTATATTAAGGAGAATTTACCTTCTTTGTTGGGTTAAGTGGTGATGATGGGAGACGAGAGCAAATTTCTTTCTTGGAAAACGAGGGACATGATGGGAAACGGGAACACTGTGGGTTGTAGGTTTGGGAATACCCTGGATGTCAGGGACGGTGATGAAGGAAGGGATGGGATAGAGTTGGAGTGTTCAGATATCCAAACAAGATGAAATCGAAAGATCAGACTGAATATGTTGTCAACGGTTTCGTCAAGTGACCGGATTTCTTCCGTCCATTTGACGGTTCCACGTCTCTCTCATCGACAATGTCATGATGCTCGAATTCTAAACAGTAAACCTGGCAAACCCTCTCCTCATGGTTTCCAAAGAGAGTAAGAATCGGGTCTCAGGAAACGTGCCAATGTCCCACTTTAAGGACAACGGATTGCAACACCGAAGAGGAGAATAAAAGGTCTTGTGTGCATAGTAATTGTTCGTGACATTCATTAACACTCCAGGTCTGTACTCTCTAGCTAACTGTTCATTCCCAACCTGAAGTCATTGGCTTAGACCTTCCAGCACCCAACCATCGTACCTGATCCTCCTTCTTACTGCTCGTTCTTCATGACATTATACAAGCTACCAATATGCGGCAAGATCTCCACCACGAACTCATCACCATCATGCAACATCTCCTTCCTAGCAAAGCCAACACCAGCCGGAGTACCGGTAATGATAACGGTACCCTTGGGCAGCGTGGTGCCCTGCGACAAGAAGCTGACAATTTCTTGAACCGAGAAGATGAGGTCACTGCCATATTCACACACCAACCCGTTAGCATCGCATCGCATCCCACCCAAACAAAGCACACATCGGAAACAGAACAGAAAAGAAAAGAAAGACTCACGTCAAAGGACTATCCTGCACCACCTTCCCATTCTTCAACCCCCTCAACTTCAGTCCGCCCACATCATCCCCAACAACCTCCTTGCTAACCAAGACGGGACCGATCGGACAACTGCCATCGAAACCCTTGGAGTAGCACCACTGCGTCTGCGCAAACTGGGACGCGCGGCTGCTGATGTCGTTGCTGGCGGTGTAGCCGAGGACGTAGTCGAGCGCGTCCTGCTCGCTGACGTTCTTGCAGTCCTTGCCGATGATGATGGCCAGCTCGGACTCGTAGTCGGCCGAGTCCGAGTCGATGGTGTGCTTGGGGATGAGCGTGGGCGCCGGGTAGGGGTCGGCGAGGGCGGTGGCGGGCTTGAGGAAGAGGGTGGGGATCTCGGGGATGGACATCTTGGCTTCTTCGGCGTGTTTCTTGTACTGTTTTTTTTTGCGGGAGGAAGGGTTAGCTCAGCTGTTGCAGCTAATTTTGGGAAATTAAGCACCTATTCTAAGCAGGTGTAGAGGAGGTTGGGAGGGGGCAGCAGAAGCTCACGTTCAAGCCAATGCAGCGGATGGTGCCGGCCTCTTGGGCAGTGACGGGTGAGAGGATCCGGCCGATGGTGGCCTTGTTGCCGGTGGGAGAACCAGCGTCGAGGACGGAGGTGCCGGAGTAGACATTCACTTCGACATCTTCGCCTTTGCGGACGGCGGCGCCGACGTCGACTTGGCTGTCGACGGGCTCGCCGATGAGGACCTTGGAGTCATCGCCCTTGGGGACGAATCTTACGAGACCTAGATGAGGTTCGAGTGTCAGTTTTGTTACCGTCTAGATATTTCGGCGTCCGCTTTGGAAATATCGCCCAGTCACGAAAAGGAGGAAGGGCAACTGGAGGGGGGATTGAACTCACGGCTGAACGACATGATTGCTGTGTTTCTTTTAAACTTCAAAAGGCAATGGACTTGGAACAATGCTGCGACGCCAAGACTGTGATTATTACTGGTAGCACACTTATACTTCAATCTTCAGTCACCGCTTGTCAAGTCAAAACAATCCAAGGCCGCAATTCGGAGAAGGAGGAGATCAGTATCACGATGAGGGGCAGCAGCCACACCCCAGAACATGGGAATGGAGCTCACAAGTATGACCGAAGCTAGTTTACCTGCTAGCATGAAGCTTACTAACCACTTGTTCATCATGCCGACCACTGTCCGGCAGTACAGCATGTCATCGTAGGACAGTGTGTGCCATCCGCAGATCAGGCTGATTTGCTGCTTGCGTTGAAATGTTGATGGTGAGGTTTCCAGTTTCCCCGAACCCGCATGGTAGAGGTATCCTCGGCATGCAGCTCTCCAGCGCTGCAGGGATCCTACCCGGCTACCCCATCTCACCCGTAGCGGTAAACACATAAGCTTCTGTCAGCTTTGAAGGGTCCTCTTTTGCTATAGAGTGTTGCCACTTTGTAGGTTTCTCTTTCCGGCGGCCGGAGGCTGTAAGTCGTGGTCGGACATGACAAATGAGCCTGAAGTTGACCAAGTTGGGAACGATGGGCAAGAACGGGGAGGATCAAGGCAACGGCAAAAGCCATGTGATGCTGATAATGGAAGAAAAAGGGAAGCGGGAAGATACGAAATGAACAGCTTAAAAAAACCAAGAAAAAAAAATCAAGAACAAAAGAATAACATACAGCACCTGGGATTCGCTGGTCGTCACCGACCCAACTACTAGTCAGGCGATTAGTGGCTTATCTATGGGAGAGCGGACGGGATCCCGAGTTTTCCACTATCTATGGCCGTATGTGCTTGTTTATGCGAGAACGAGTATTATATATCTCTCTCTCAGCCATAAAAACCTGGCTCAGTACCGTCGTTGTAAGTTCAAATCTTCACCTAACGAATCCAACAACCACATGTTCAACCCTGACCATTGATAGTACAGGAGGATCCAGCTTAAGACGAAGCCCCTTCCCAAACCGTATACTTGATTGAGACAGGACGTTATCAACATGGACCTGACTTACAAGCTGTTGTCCGGCTACTCGCCTGTTGACGGTCGTGAACGCAAGACACGCCGCAATATCGCCTTAAGATGTTTCCTGTGACATCACACAAAGAAGAAGAGATGTAGAGGAATAAAATATGACCGGACGCGAAGCACAGCAAAGAGACAGGGAGACACGGTAGCAATTAACATCGTTCATATTGTGCTCGCAATGGAATTTATCCAACTCGAACAATGATATATATATATGTACAAGTCGTGGTAGTCTCCCCTGAGAGATGGGAAGACACTGACGCGCGCAAAGCCAAGTTGATAAACAAAGTCGAGACAGAGATGAAGCGCGCGCTGAACGAAAGCAGCCACGGCCGTCGTTTTGGGGTATCAATGGGGTATGTATGTATGGGAGTGTAGTATATATAAGTCTATAACGGTCTTGTGTGTGCAATTCTCTGCTTTGTTTGCTGTTGACGCGTGGCTGAACAGGAGAACGGTAGACGGTAGGGAGACATTAATCCGTCATCAGCGATGGGATGTGTTGTGTGATATTAAAGCCACAGTCTTTCTCTCTCTCTTCTATCATGGTTCCTTCCTCATTTTACGATCCTCGGCCAGCACTGTGTTGGTCGTCCCATTAACGCCGCCGACATTGCTGGTATTTCCCGCATCAAACAGGGTGCAGCTGATGTGTTTTATCCCGGAAAGAACCGACCAAGGGTCCGATGTCGAGTGAACGATGGCTAACCACGCGGCTACCAAGTTGACCAGGTAGTGCAACATGTATGCAAAAGAGACGCCGTAGATGGCGGCGTAGAGGGCGATCCCGAACAGCAGAACACTGGTGAAGTGCTTGAATCGGCTATTAACCCTGGGGACCATCTTGCCCGTGGTCAGAGTCTCCACGAGAATGATGAAGGGCATGATGGAAAGGACATTATGGTGGGATGAGAAGGGGGTGAGCCAGTGGACCGCCAAGTTGTGGATCCAGACCACCAAGATGGGGAGGTTGATGGGAAGGATCCAGAGCATAAGCAGGAGAATGGAGTGGACGTAGTTGTAGAAGTTGGAGTTGGCGGCTGATTTCAGGTCAGAGGCAATTCTCTGTGCCCGGACTGTGGTGGTCAGCTGGACCAAGCAACACACCAAGTACGCAAACTGATAAGGGATCAGAGTCGAAACGAGGACTAGCAAGATGGCGGTGGTGACCATTCGCCGCCTTGGTGAAGTGGGATAGAACGCAGGGAGCGGCAAGGCTTTGCGTCTTTCCTCGTTGCGAATCCACCCGGGCCGAAAGCTCAAGAGGCTAACAGCTATGCTCAGAATGTGTACAAGGGTGAGAGTCATGTAGTTGAACACGGTGCAGATTCCAACACAGATGAGTCCAATCACCGGAATCAAGAACCAGAAGAAAGGATCTTGTGTTCCGATGAGGAGATCGTTCTGATGGAAGTCAATCGCGCCAGATGTGACATTAGCCCAAATCCAGATGTTTGCGGTTGCCGATGATGACGAGTTCCAGATAAACAGGGACAGAAACGTGAGAAAGGCAAGAACCAAGGGGATCGACTGCCTCAAGCACAGATCCAAACTTTCAGAGAAAGAGACAAATACGCCAGTAGTGTCATAGATGCGGAACTGCTTGCGCAGGACAAGCGTAACCACCAGCAAGGGGAACGCAGCAAATACCGTCCGGTATCGCATGTACAGTTTGCCCAGACTGCCCCTAACATCAATGCTCATCTTGATATTGATGTTGGAGGCGCAGGTTGGATCGGTCCAAAACTGGAAACTTAGACCATCCTCCGTCGATCTGCTCTTCAGTGGCGGAGGCACGTACGGCGCAACACCATGAATGCTCACTGCGGCTTTCCTTGCGTTGACGAAAAATTTGGACTCGTACGGCTCCGTCAGATACTGTCGAACCAACGGGGCGAAGAGCTCCTGTTGTTCACCACAGTTTTGCTCGCTGATTTCCAAGTTGTATGCCAACAGACTTGATTGCATAGTGGGAACCTTCAGTTCGGAGACCATGGGTCGCGAGGAGGGGAGGCGGAATTTCATGCCGAAAGCGAGGAGCCGACGAAGGCTGATGTGCCTTGTACGATGTGACTGAGAAACATCGCTAAACTCGGCGATCACAAAACCCGGGGTCGGAGTGTTGGCCTTCTCGATTACAGCAACGTACTGATGCTCGGCGATATCCTCAACGTCATATTGAAGATATGAGAAAGGCGTCCTCGGGGGCTCCCCATCTTTAGAGAAGGGGTACTGCGATGACCGAACGGATGCTGGGAGAGTGACAACATCCGAGGCCGCATTGTTACACGCCAACCGTGTGGAGGCGCTACTTTCTCCAGCAAGATTGATCTGAGCTGCAAAGCCTGCTACAGCCTGACCAGGCTGCATCGGGAAGACACTGCAAAACAACACCTCCAGCCTCCCGTTTTCGCTAGAAATATCCAGCTTCTGGTCCGTCAAAAGGGTGAAGCGCTTTGGTTCAGGCGATCCTGACGGAGGGATGGGCAGGAGATGAGCGCGCACTGCGCCGCTCGCGCCCAGACTCCTCAACACCAAGCGCTCCCCTTGCCTAATCACCGAATTCAGGTTGTCCTCGAGAGTAAGCAGCGTCGAAGGATCCTTGGACGGCACGGTCTTCTCCGCCACCTCTTCCATCCCTGTAAGAAACCACTTCTTGAACACCCTCATCCTATCGGCCCTTGGCTTCGTCTGGGCAGCTCTGTTGACGTCCACGACATCGAAGATTGCCTTCACCAAAGCCTTGCGAAACTGATCGCACCATAGGATTGCTGCATGATCCATGCTCGTCCATACATTCGGGATGCTCGTAGTGAACACGGTAAAGCCATGCGTGTCGGGGACAAGAGATTCGACACCGGCGTAGTCTGATGGCACAACGGTATCCAAGCCACCACCCGCAATGGAAACCAGGGTGACATGCCACAGAGGGTTGTTGTTGGCCCATTGCTGGGAGTATGCGTGCCTCCAGTAGTCGTTGATATCCTTGTAGGTCTTGACGATCTCACTGTCGAAAGAAACCGGGGGCCGAGCATGCGGGGCGGACATGGTAATGATGGTGTTGATGGAATTGGCCTGGTAATTGGGCATGATGAGCATGGTCCTGGCAACAACACCTCCCATCGAGTGACCCAGGACTATAACTGATGTCGGATCTGGCAGATTGGGGTCTCGGTCTGAGCGGGTCCGATCGAGGTAAAGCGAAAGGATGTATCGTATCGCTTCGTTCAGGTATTCGGCTTGGTCGAGCAGGGTCTGGCCATGGAAGGCAGTAATGTCCTCGTTGAAATCGACCGTAAAGAAGTCGAGACTTCGAGCGCCAGCCTTGACAGCGGATTCGTCTTGTTGTAACACATCGTGAAAGTAATTAGCGGCTTCGGCGGCGATGGGTCGAACTTGCTTGTAGCTACCGGCGTTTCCGGGTATGAAGAGAACGGGAACACCCTTGACCTACAAAGGCAAAGTAAGCAAAGGGGGGGAGGGAATGGTGCACTCTTTGGGGTCTTTGATCCCATACCTTTGCATCATTCTCGATGCCCAGTTCGCGATAAAGGTATAGCGAGTACTTGCTTGCGAAACGAGTATGCTCCGTGTCGAAATCGTCAAATTTGGCGTAGCCAGGGCGCATGTACGACATGCGACAACCCTTGGGATCGATGTGTCGCGTGAAGGATGAATTCAAGCAGAGGGCCAGAAAGCCAATGCCCAGAATCGAGGTGAGTAGGGTCACGAATGTGATGGCCCAGGGACTTCGTATCCTCGGTCGCTTGCCAACAAATTTTTGTTCCTCTTCCTTTTCCATCTCTTTCGAATGGACGGCCCCGTTCGCAGGGGCTCCGAGGGAGAGCGGTGGAGTGGAGGGCGAGTGGGAAAAGGAGGAAGAGAAGAAGGAGGGCGGAGGCTTCTCTATTGATCCATTCCGAGAGTGTGACAGTTTCCAATTGAAGTTGCCGGACCGCCTACTTCGTGCGTAGAAAGACTGCGGTTGTTGGTTTTGCGATTGTTGAGAAGGAGGCTGGTGCTCGAGATTCGATGGGCCGGCGCCGGGGCTAGAAGGGCCGGGGTTACGATCGCGCTTGGTAGGGGACTGGCGCACAGAGGGCGACTCGGGACTGGTTCGTTCGGCGGCCGAGGACTGCGAGGGTCGCGAGGGTCGCGGAAGGGCTGTTATGGGCGCTATCGGTGGGGATGTCGTCGCGTTTGTTGTCGAGTTTGCGTACACGTCTTGCTCCTGTTGGAGTTGTTGGTGTAGAAGGAAGTCGACATTGGGAACAGGAGCCTCGACAGGACATAGATGGCCGTCTTCTGAGGTTCCAGCTAGCCGAGTCCTCATTCCAGGGTTGGTGCCAGTGGCGGGCGGTCTTGGTGTGCCACGACAGGTAACGGGTCAGGGTAGGTTGGTCGGAAACACAGAGCGCAGCCAGTGTCGCGAGTGGGTGCTCTTACGGTCTGACTTTTTTTTTTCTCTGATCTTCGGGTAGTTTATTTCGTGTGATGTCGCCTATTCTCCAAGTCGTGGCATGCGGTTGGTTCCAGCAGGTGAGGCGTCTATGCAAGACAAAATGCTACTGCAAGCCTGGCCAAGTCGGGAGGTCGGATGTTTGACAGTGGCCGGTGTGGATATCGTTTGAGAGTTGAGGAGATAAGAGCCTCCAAGAGTCTCGAATCTCTGGAATATCGAACCTCGAATCTGCAAAGTCGAAAGTTGGAGTAAAGTTGAAGGGAAGGGTGTTGCCAAGTACGGGGCCGACAGCCGAAGGTCCCTACTCGTCAATGGATGGCGATTTGAGGCGGCCCGATTTCGAAGCGCGAAGGGAAAATGGCCCGTGCTTGTGAGAGTGCTCCCAATGGGCAGGCTCTACCTGTGTCGAGGTACCGCTCTGCAGGTGTCAAAAGTCAATGCTCTGAGTGACAACCTGTCGGGTCTCTGTTTTCTCCGCGCTTGAGGACAAGGACAAGGCTCAGGTAGCACATTACCCCAATCTCATTTTCCAAAGGCGCGGGACCAGAAGCGACTATACTAAATGGAAGAAAAGGAGAACAGACGGGAGAGGGGAGTGGGAGAAAAAGAAGAGGAAGATATTAGATATCGGATGGAAACGAAAAGCCGAAGCTAAGGAAAATCAAGCATTTTGGGGTTGCGGGCTCAGTGGGCTCCCGTCACAGTGGGCTCCCGTGGGATTTCGCAACAAAATCCTCGGACACCCGCTCGACTCGTCAGGATACCCCCATCAGGAACTTGAGATTTGGGGGTCCGGGTTTCTAATCCTCACCAACCAATCAGCAGTCTCGTAACTGCATCCAGAGATTCAAGACAAGGGACGATTGGGGTTCGCCAGCGGTCTTTGTTGCGCTGTGGTCGCCTGGTCGATGCTCGCCCGCCAGCCCGCCACGCCCGCCCCAGCCCTCCGCGCCCACCGCGAGCCCACGACAATCTAGCCTCGCTGCGGGCCGAAATGTTTTGACGTGATTCGGCAGAACCGGATTCAGGGAGTTGCCTTTCTGTACACAGTTTTTTTTCGGTGGGTAGCAGCGCAGTGCATGTGTGCAGTGGGTTGCAGCGGATTGCTCTTGCGTGATGCACGAATGTTCCCGATAGACTGTACTGCAGAATCACGGCATGATAGAACTTTGATATTTCCAAAGCAATGTGATGATATCGAAACGAAGAAACATCGAAACATATCACATCCATCAGACCTCAAGGTATGAATGAGAGGGGCAAATATCCCCAGAAGTTGGCAAGGCCAATGCCTGGTACTTTGAAACGAACAAAACCAGCACGTCTCCATACGCCTGAGGCAGATTGGGTTAGGAGCGATGTGATCTTCACGATAAAAGGCACGGCGGCAATTGCCGTGCCATTGAGAGTTTCGATTCTTGTTGCAGCGGAGAGGGCCGGATGCGTTCTTTTTCTGATTTCTCTCTTTCCTTTGTGCTTGAACAGTGACATCGCTCCGCAAGACAAGCGGCAAGCTGCTTCAAAGAGAAACACTGAGACATCTTTCGTCATGACGAACGGACGGTACCAGTATCAGGCTCCCAGGCCAGAACACCTACGCGGGTCGTATATGTAAGGTAGCCGCCTCTTCACACGTCGTTGTCCTCAGCCCGGTTTCCGGCTGGGAGGGTTGGGGGGTTGGATGACCGAAACTGCAACATCATAATGAACCCCCTCCTCTATCTCGCAGCTCGTATGTGGAATTGCATATCACTTTCTGGTGATTGCCATTCAAAAACCGGTCAGCGTCGTAGTTCTCACCGTCCATGATCGTAATCCGTGATCATATCCTCATAGACCTCCCAGAACTGGGTTATACTTCCACGGCCACTACCGCACGGCAAGGCCCGCCCATCGTCTCGTGCTTTGTTGGCCGGCCTCGATCGGATGAATACGAAGCAGCCATCGATCTATTCGCTTATCAAAAGATCAAAAGCAACAATAGAGGCGCATTTAAAGCGGTTATCGTCCCGTATATGCGTTAGCTGTTGGTCGAGTCGGCCGAGTGCTCCTGCAGAGCCTTATCTATTGAGGTTTAAATTCCAACCTTGTAGGGCGCTCTTGACATCTTGACAACTTGGCACGCATCCTGGCACATATCGGTGCGACTGGTAGTCTAGCCACTCGGTTCTCGTGAACTGGTCGGCGGCCTGGGTTCTTTGGGCGGCTGGCCGTCAAAATTGACGGGTCCTTATCTCCTCTCTTCTCACTCAGAGCTCAGCTCCGGCGCTTGTCAAGTTCAAGACAGTGGTGATGCCCATGTCTTTGCAAGCCGGGAGAGCCGGGGTACGCAGAAGCTGAACGGGAGTCTGCCAAGAACTGAACACAACGTCATCCAACCACTTCCACACGTTTCAGTTGATGACTGCTGCTCGGCGAGCCATTGCGGCACAGCTCTTTCTCAGTGTACGATATAAATGTCCCTATCCGAATTTGTTGTCAGGGAAAATGATCCGTTCTTAGGTATGCGGTTGGCGAATCCGAGTAATCTGCTCTGTAGCTCGTCAACATCAAAACCCAAAGATGAAAGGCTCCAAGACACGGAAAAGGATGAGAGGAAGTGATGTGCTGCCATTGCGCGGTATCGAACTGGCATGGGTGGCTGGCAAGCGTGGAGGTTTGTGATGTCCCTGACGATCATGAAGCGTATCATCCTCCCAGACGGTGAGGATTGACAGCAAAAGTTGCTCGATTGGAAAACCGCAATGTGAGGATGTGCGAAGGTGAGAGGCCTCCCTTTCTAGCCGTTCAAAGATTTGATGAGGATCATACACGAGGATGGATCCATGAGGCATTGAAGGACCAGAAATTTATCTGGACGACGACATCGACGAGGTCAAAATTGTTATGGAATTGCCCGTTTGCTGAGAACTTTTTGGAGACAGGAAGCGGCACAGGGCTTGGGGGCAGCTTTGCATGGTGGGGTTGATGCGTGTAATACCGTACACCGTGCATACACTCACATGGCATAACTTTGGCGTATATTACGCTGTGGATTCACCATCAAAACGCGCCAAGCCGCAACCACTTTACGCGTGTGCGCAGGCAGTCACGTCTCCCAACCAAACCTCCATCGCGGTATCTCCGACATACCCAATGATGACGGCAGTGACTCCAACCTAGACACGTACCAGACCTGGATATTGAAGTATCAATTATCCACCGACGAATATCAATGAACCTAGCATAGCATAAGCATCGAATTCGGCGATAGAATGGCCTCAGATGGCGCCATCAAGGCCATTGACCCGAGCACGGTTCGTCCACTTTCCGGTGCTAGTCCGACAAAAAAGACGGTTTACTGATCTTGTTTTCCGTCAATCAGATCCATCAGATCCAATCTGGTCAAGTCATCGTCGACCTTTGCTCTGTAGCCAAGGAACTCGTAGAAAACGCACTAGATGCTGGAGCGACGACAATCGGTATGTCACAAGATATCTGTCCATGGGAAATGAACAAACACTGAAGAGTTACCAGATGTCCGGTTTAAGAATCAAGGTCTCGATTCGATCGAAGTCCAGGATAATGGCAGTGGAATATCATCCAGCAACTATGAATCCATTGCGCTAAAACACTATACTTCCAAACTATCCACCTACGATGATCTATCAACCCTACAAACCTTCGGCTTCCGAGGTGAGGCTTTGTCCTCCCTCTGCGCCTTGTCACACTTTACCATCGTTACATGCACCCAGAAAGAGGCGCCAAAGGCCACCAAACTCGAGTTCGAGACATCCGGAAAGCTCAAGAGCACCAGTGTTGTTTCGGGCCAGCGAGGTACCACGGTCTCAGTCGAAAACCTGTTCAAGAGTCTGCCTGTCCGCCGACGCGAGCTCGAAAGAAACATCAAGCGAGAATGGGGCAAGGTGGTCAACCTGCTCAACCAGTATGCCTGCATTCAAACCGGCGTCAAGTTCACAGTGTCGCAACAACCTACCAAAGGAAAGCGGATGGTCCTGTTTTCAACAAAGGGAAACCCTACCACCCGAGAAAACATCATCAACGTCTTTGGCGTAAAGACAATGACTGCCCTGATCGCTATGGACCTCAGGCTGCAACTAAAACCTAGCAATACTGGATTCCTGAGCAAGACGCCTGCCGCGGACGAAGACACGACGACAGAAGTTCGCATTTGTGGACATATCTCTCGCCCGGCTCATGGCGAGGGCCGCCAGACGCCAGATCGGCAAATGTTCTACGTCAATGGAAGACCGTGTGGGTTGCCTCAGTTCGCCAAGGTCTTCAATGAGGTCTATCGGTCCTATAACTCGACTCAATCGCCTTTTATATTTGCTGATATCCAGCTGGACACGCATCTTTATGATGTAAATGTCAGTCCAGACAAGCGCACTATCTTGCTTCACGATCAAGGACAAATGCTGGATAATTTGAGGGAGTCCTTGATAGAGCTTTTTGAGTTGCAAGATGTCACCATTCCCGTGTCACACACTCAACCACTCAAGAGCTCAACCTTCAGGGGGCCATCAACAGTCCCTTCGGGGTCACTGACCCAGGCGCGAGGGAGAGACAACAGGGATGCATCGGAAGAGCCGGATAGTTCTCTGCCTTCAGATAAACCTGAAAACGGACCAGGAGGCAATAAGACAGCCAGGAGTGCGATCGATGAGGACTCCGATGAGGCAGTGAGCGATAATGATGTGCCGAGTACTCGGTCTACTGGTTCCCAAACGAAGGCTGTGCCGTCCAGATCGACACCTGCTAACACACAGGCATCGAACCTACTTTCACGGTGGCTTGAGCGAAAGTCTGAGGTCCGCAAACAATCAGTTCCATCTACTCTCAACGCGAAAGACAGCAACAGGGAGAGATCTGTCGAAAAGGAGCCGAAATTCCCAGATAGGACTAGTGAGGATGACACAAAGGATGCCGAGTCGGACGCCGAACAGGAGACTGCAGAAAACATGGAATCCGTGGAGGACGATTCAAGGACTCAGGATGTGGTCGATGAGATGGAAGTGGACAGAGGTGAACCACCAATGTCATCCATTCCCCTTCCATCTCAGCCACCTATCCCGAAAGGGAGTCTACTATCGATACCACGACCACCGAAACGGTCAGCACAAGAGGAGGTGGCAACGATCACTATTGGCGATCATTCCATCACCAGCGTCATCGGCTCATCCAATAAAAGGTCCCGATTGTCGGAGGGCATGAGATCAGTCAGTCTTGAGAACTCTCCAAAGAAAGGGGTCAGGACTGTTCCTGTGCCTTCTTTCGGTGGCCGTTTGACTCAGCTGTTTGCTGCTTCGGCTGCTGCATCTCAAGGGGCATCAAAGGGCCTCGAAATGACGACTGAGGATGCGGAGATGGTCGATGAGGAAGAAGGGGAAGAGGAAAACGAAGAGGGCAACGAAACGGAGAAAGAAGAGGATTCCGATGAGGAAACACTATTCGTGAGCCAACCGAAGGATGTGCCCGCAGTCGAAGATGATGATGATGACGACGAAGCTGATAATCCAGCTCGTGAAATCAGCCCAACCGATGAGGAGGGCAGTGGTCCCACAAGTGGCCAGACCACTCAACGCGTGGTGGAAGACGAAGAGGATGGTGAAGCTGAAGCTACAGAAGATGCACATTCTGAGTGTTGCCTGCATGACGGCGATGACGAGGAATACATCCACGAGGACGAGAAGAAGGCCAGAGAAGAGAAGAAGGTGCAAAAGATGATCAAAGCCGCTGAAACGAAGGCAAATGAGCCAACCGAAGAGGGCGAAAAGCGTTCCCAGAGTTTTGTGAAGGGACGACTAAAACGGAAAGACTTGACATTCAACCTTGTCCATCGTGTAAAAACAAACGAGGAAAACATCCGGTCTCGAATGGAAGCCTGGGCAAAATACCTACCCAGCGCTGGCAAAGCTGGCTCGTCTACACAAGAGAGCAGCAACGGGGAACAGGCAACAACAGGCCTCGACGCCGCCGACGCCGAAGAGAAACTATCCCTCAAGATCTCCAAATCCGACTTTGCCAAGATGAAGATCGTCGGCCAATTCAACCTCGGCTTCATCATCGCCGTCCGGGAAGCTTCATCATCCTCCTCTTCTTCCACACAACCTTCCTTAACTCAAACCACCCCCAAAGAAGACGACGAACTCTTCATCATCGACCAACACGCCTCGGACGAAAAATACAATTTCGAGCGCCTCCAATCCACCACCACCGTCCAATCCCAACGCTTAGTCCAGCCCAAACCGCTCACCCTCACCGCCGTCGAAGAAGAAATCATCCTCGAACACCTCCCCATCCTGTCCCAAAACGGCTTTTCCGTACACGTCGACACCTCGGGCTCTTCGCCCGTCGGTTCCCGCTGCCAGCTTCTTTCCCTCCCCCTTTCGCGCGAAACCACCTTCTCGGTCGCCGATCTAGAGGAATTGATTTTCCTGCTGGGGGATAACCCCCACCCCTCCAGCTCTACTACTACGGCGATACCGAGACCGTCAAAAGTGAGAAAAATGTTTGCCATGAGAGCGTGCAGGAGCAGTATCATGATTGGACGGGCGTTGTCTGGGGCGCAGATGGAGAAAGTGGTTAGGCATATGGGCGAGATGGAGAAGCCGTGGAATTGTCCGCATGGACGGCCGACTATGAGACATCTTTGTGGGTTGGGGGCGGCGTTTGGTGGGGATGGTAGTAGCAAAGAAAAGGAGAGGGGGTGGGATGAGTGGGAAGGGGGAGGAGGCAAAGGGGGAGGAGGGAGGGAGAGGGTGGATTGGAGGGGGTGGGTTAGGGAGAAGAGGGAGGAAGGAGGAGAGGAAGAGGTGGATGAAGAAGAGGGAGAAGAAGGGGAAGAAATGAGTGAATGAGGACTTGAAATGAAATGGTTGCCCATATTGAATGGATGACATCTTATAGTGAAACATGCTAAGGATTGGTGCTGCGTGGTTGATGGTTTCGTCGTCGTCGACGACTCGTCTTGAACTCGTGATGTTTTGTGGAGTGCAAGCTCGAAATGACCGAGCTTGATAAGAGCTGAGTCGCCAACCCCACTTCAACAATTACGGTCCGATGGTGTAGTTGGTTATCACGTCAGTCTAACACACTGAAGGTCCTGAGATCGAGCCTCAGTCGGATCAATATCATATCTTTTTTACATTTTTTTATGAGTTTGTATCGAAGTCGCTTTTTGCATTTTGTTGTTGGTTCTTTGATATGTCCGTTTTGCCTTACTTTTTAGTGTGTACGCAACGCTTTTTTCCTGCTCTGGTTTGAACTGGAGGCAGTATTAACCAACAGGTAGCTGCCATGATGCACGAATATCAACGTTTAGTGATGAGTCCTTTCCAAAACTTGAAGTGGATGGTAATGCCATGAAGAACATATGGGAGGTCATCTAATCTGGTAAAGCAGTTCGCAAGGTCACATCTTCCAGTCAAGCCTCGTTGATAATTTTCTTTTGTTGTATGGTATTTGCAACCTCTAGTATGCAACGTCCAACGGTAGTTTATCCCGTATTCAATACTAATATTAACAGGGACAAACCTCTATTCATTTTTTCTCAACCAGCAAGCCGCAATCCAGCTTCCACCGCACATGGGAAAACGAGACTTATTTAATCCCCAACTCCTCCTTCCTCTTCCTAACCTCCTCCACCGCCCCCTCCGGATCACCAACCGTCGGATTCCTCAACTGCCACGCCATCACCACCTCCAGCGCCTGCCCCATCCACTTCCCCGGCTTCACCCCCAACGCTGCCGCCAGCTGCTTACCATCAATGATCCGCTTCACGCTCGGCGCATCCATCAGGTCCATCTCCACCAGATGATCCAAAAAGGCCTGCCACTCCTTTAACACGTCCTCCACCGTCTCTTTACCTTCTTCACCAGTAGTTCTCTCAGCAACATCAACAAGCACAGCATACAACACCTGCAACCGCCAGTTCGCGCCCACGCCCGGTCTCGAATCCCATCCGCGGATAGCCATTCCCAGCCTGTCCCTCTCCATCTTCTTCCCCTCATCGCCAGCAGCCGGACGAACGACCAAGTCGCGCATAGCCAGGATCGCCTGGCGGTGTCTGTGCGACGCGGTAATCACGTCCGTGAGCTTGTTCGGCGCACGATACCCTTCGCGAGCGGCCTGGGTGGCGAGCGGAGGGGCGGGTTTGCCACCCTTCAAGGGCGGGTCGTCGGGCAGAGGCGCAAAGGGGACGAGGGCGGCTAGGTTCCAGGCGAAGTAGGCGGATTCGGGAGAGGTGACGAGGAGGGAGTAGATGGAGCCTGGGGTGGCGAGGGTGGTGGAGAGGGAGTGGAGGGTTTGGTAGGCGATGGGCCAGGAGGTGAGCGGAGGGCGTGGGAAGTCGGGTCGCGAGGAGTCGGTGAAGAGGGTGTGGTAGAGGGAGAGGTCGTTGATGTAGGTTAGGGAGGAGAGGGGGTCGGGGCCTGCGGAGGGGTTAGTTTTTGAGGGGAGGAGGTTGTAGAGGAGAAGACAGGACTTCTTTACCTTTGAGCATCTTCTCCAACTCAACACCGATTCGCTCTCTGCTAATCTTCAGCTTGAGAGCTTCCAACACCCTCTCGTCACCCATGACTGCCTTCGCCTCCTCGTCGATCGTGAAGCCGAGCCTGCTGGCAAACCTGATGAGTCTCAGCACCCTCAGCGGATCATCCATGAACGTCTGAAGCGGCTCCAGCGGCGTCCTGATCAGGTTCCTATCCATATCCTTCATACCGCCCGTAAAATCCTCCACCTTGCCGGTGTGCAAATTATAGAACAGCGCATTAACCGTCGCATCTCTCCTCAGCGCGTCCTCCTCGGCCGTACCGAATTCGACTTGCGGGTTCCTGCTGTCCTCAGTATACGTCTCCTTGCGCAGGTTGACAAAGTCGACGTCCAACCCAAAGAGCTTGATGGTGGTCGTCTCCAGATGCTTGCTCTTGTCCGGGTTGCGCGCGATCTTGTGCAGGTTGCCCACGTCGGCGGGACCGATGGAGTGGCGCTCCCGATGGGCCGGGTCGGCGTCGCAGTAGTCGCGCAGGCGCAGGGCGAAGGCCTCGCCCGTCATGTTGTTGATGGCCACGTCGATGTCGTGGCTTTCGGTCCCGAGAAGCTTGTCGCGGACCCAGCCGCCCGCCCAGCGCAGGATGACCGGCTCGTTGACGTTCTTGCCCTCCTTCTCTGCTTCGGCGGCTTCTTGGGACTTGTTGATGTACTCGGCGACGTCGACGAGGAGACCTTTGAGCTGGGCCTCGACCGCGTTGAGCGGGATGCTCTGGTCCGTGAAGACTGCGCTGTCGGCCATGACTGCTTGCCGTCTGGTTCTAGCTGCAGCAATGACGGGAGGTGTGGTGGCTCTTATGGCCTGCCTCTTTGCTGAGTCGCTCGCTTGAGCTTCAAGGTGAGCGGGAGCTTGTTGTTCGGGCTTGTTGTCGGATGGTGGGGGTGGTGAGGAGAAGTCGCCAAACTTGCGCTTCATGAGGAACGTGGGAGAGTGATGAAGTCGTCTCAGCGGTAAGCGGCAGAGACGAGAAAGCATAGACTGTTTGGTTGTTTATTGAGGGATGGATGTCACTTTCCGTTTACAAGGCTGTCTTGTCGTCAAGGTGAGATGGAAACTGAAAATGTGGAGTGCAGGCTTTGAATTGCTGTGAGAGGCCGACCGTTGGACAGCTTGATTGTTCCTTCCCACCACGCCGGTGACTCAGTCCGCAGCAATCCTATGATTGACAAGGTAACTCAGTTTCGTATGTCACGAATTAGCAGCGTTATATGGAATAGTTTGGAAAATTGGAGACTTCTAGGTTTTATACTTCGCAGGTTGCACGATCATCGATGAAGTTCAGTTACGTCGAGATACAGTATTCACACGGTGTGTCATACGGTGCAAATGAAATAAACAGAACCCCTTTTGGAGTTCAGCTTCGGTTGATGCCAACACTTGTCTTTCGACAAAAAAATTACTAGATGACTTCTAGATAACAATAAAACCCAGCCAAAAATCACCTGTCTTGGCCTCGCCTTCTATAATAACGAAAATGAGCATACGTAACTCCCAGATTACCCACATTAAGCTTCTCCATCTCTCTCTATCCACCTCAAGCCGTGGCCTCCTCCTTCTTTTCCTTCTCCGCCGGCGCCTCAGCAGCGGTTTCTACCGGGGCCAGAGATTTCCTCGGTTCCGCCTCAGCGACAGGCTCCGGTACAGGCTCAGGTTCAGGCTCATCCAAGGCCAGGTCCTTCCTCAACTCGGGCAAGAACCGATCGATCCTCTTCCACGTCTCATCCCACAGCTCCTTGCGCTCCGGGTTCTTGCTTGGTGGTACAAGATAGCCGTTGCTCGACATAATCAGCAGCACATTTTTCAAGTTCTCCGGTACAGCCTCCTCCTATAACGCGCAAGATCGTTAGCTTTTCTGACTTTCGTCGTCACGGGAATCCAAGGCACATGTTGGGTACTTACCAAGCTATCTCCCTGACCACTGTTCATCAGCCGATCCATGATCTCAATGATCTTCAACCACAGATCCAACATGCCATCCCACTGGGACAGCATCACGAGGTACTGCAAGAAGACCTTGGACAGCAACGACGCCGCCTGCACGCGCGTCTCGCTCATGCCGTCGCGGTCGGACGAGAACACCTCTGGCTTCAACAATACCAGAATCAGGGGAAACAGGACTTCGCCAAAGATAGCGGTCCACTCCGAGTGGTCCTCCGAGGTGAGCTCCGGCGAAAGGAGGGACCTCTGCATGGAAGCAAAGGCCAGGTGCCGGACTTCACGGCAGGGGTTGGTGCACTGCGTGGTGAGTGACTTGAAGATGGGTAGCCAGTAGGCGGACCATGCTGTTGTTGCGTTAGCACTCCATCCTCGTAGATTCTCGTGCAGAATACGACTTCCTGAAAACTTACCTTCGTTGCTCTCCAGATGCGACTGCTTCATCAAATGCGGAATACGCTCCGTCATCTGCGAGATGATGTGGATAGCCTTGATTCCCCGCGCAACCACTGCGTTCTCGCTAGGCTTCTTGTCCTGCTTGACCGGTCGGACAGGAACCTTCCTGCCGCTCTTCTTTGCAGTACTATCCGCCCTCTGCTCCTCGATCGCACCAATGCTAGCCATGGACGCGAACTCGTTGAGCAGCCCAATCGCCGCCTCATAGTTGTCTGCTATAATTGCCGATGGTGTGCCCGACACTCCGCTCTCAAGGATTTCGAATACCGCAGGCGCCGAGTCGGGGTTGGTGGCCAAAGTCCGCAAAATCACCCAGAAGTCGGGTGAAGTCATCATCTCGCTCTTCAGAGGGCACGGCTTTTCTGTGCACTCCTTTAGTCCGCGAAGAACAAGAGACGATGTCTTGAGCAGGATCTCCTTGGAAAAGAGGGATACAGTATGAAGCAGAATGGGGACCCGGATGAGGTCAAAGTCCTGACATGTTGTTAGTTTCTCGTTTTTGCAATAAGCTTTCGGCCGAGTACTTACATAGCTGGCTTGAAGCAAGGCAAACAGATAGTAGGTTGCCCGCTCAATGACAATGGGATGGTAGTTGTTGAAGTCGCGCACAATGGTGTGGATAGCTCCAATGACCCGCTTGCCCAGCAGCTCGATGGTTTCACGGTCACGAAGAGCCAACACTGTGCAGTATTCAATGACATAGACAAGAGTAGGGTCATAGACCGCCGTGTTCTGGCGCGCCTTTTGGCCGTTTGTCGGGGAACTGGGAGGGATGTTCTCTGCCTTCACAGTCATAACAGCTCCTTCAGGCCCGTTGTCATCAGGGATCTGAGCCAGCAGCGCATCCACAAGCGCCTCGAGGTCCTGCGGTGGGAGTGTCGAGATATTGGCAAAAACATCGCCAATGTGGCACTGATTGACGCAGTCAACGGTGCAAAGAGTACTTTCCAACTCTTCATCCGACGGCTCGGGCGGGTCATCTGCCGCATAGCTCGAGATGTACGAGGTGAAGGCAGAGAAAAAGCTGGTTTCGTTCTGTTTCTGCCGGTCAATTACGTTGGAGGGGCTCTGCAGCGGTATCGCTGGCAAAGAAAGTCGGTCTGGTTCCGTCGAGAAGAAGGGCGGTATTAGTGAATTAACAAATAGGTTGAGCCATATCCGGACGATCTAGTTACGGTTAGCGTCAACATACTTCCCTCACTGAACCAAAGGGTACTCACATATTTCCAACTATTCCGAATGATATGCTCCGAACCCGTCACCACGCGGAACAGGACAAGCGTAGCCAGCTGCGGCCGAACGTCTCTACCGAACTTGACCGCTAGCTCGCTCACCATGACGCTGTTCTCGCCGACCTGGACTTCAGTGTTGAGTTGTGTGTTGGACAGCGACTCACTGCTCAGCGTCGAGATCAAGCTCAGGCGGTAGACGAGCTCATCCAACGCTTCTGAATTGCCGTACTTGGTAGCAATCCGCGCGCACTCATCGAAGCCAGTAATAACCCTGGCATACACTGTGTCGTCGGTTGCCGACATAAAGACAAAGAACAGGCAAGAAATGATGGCGTTCCACGTCGTGTTGAAGATATCGGCATCGTAAATATTCGTGTCGCAGAGGACCAGCGGGCCAGCCGACTCCGTCTTGAGAAGGAGCTCCTTCCACGCGTAGTCAAACCCATGTTGATTATCGTGCTCTTCAGGCAAAATGATCTCGTTGGACTTGATGGCATCATATATATCTTGCAAGTATTCGGGCGCGAAATCCTTGCCGCCATTCTGCCCGCGCAAGTTGCGGGCAAAGTCTGTGTAGGTCATGCGAGCATTGCCCCTGAAGTTGGGGTTGTGTTGATCCGTATTGAGCATGATGATGGCGTATGTGAGAATGTAGACAGCATCCTGGTCTGCCACGCCTTCAGGAGTACTGCTGGCACAGTACTTCTCCGAGAAGGAGGTCACGATACGCTCGATGAGCTGTGCCTCACCAGGCAAACGGAAGGTCTCCAAGAGAATTCGCAGCGCCTCATCGACACGCTTGCCGGTGAAGTCCATCATACCGATGAAGTGGTCAAGGATCGCCTCATTTCCTCTTTTTGAAATGAACTCGCCGAGCATCTTCTTATTAACCCTGGAAGTCCCCTTCAGAAACGTCGCAACACACACAGGGTCAGTATCGCTGGCGATGATCCCTTTATCCTTTAGGTAGGCCAGGCCTCCCTTGGGGCTCTCATTAAACTTGTTCGTCCCCTTGATGATCACCTTCTTCCTCGCCCGCCTTTCCCTCAGTTCTTCTGGGTCAGGTAGACCCTCCGTCTCCGGAGCCTGATCCAGCCTCTCAGCAATGTACTGTATGAAGCGAAGGAGTGCATCCAGACATAGTGGTGGAACACTGGTGGTGCTCCACGTTGCCGAGTCTGGGAGGGCATTTCTTGCTAGCAGTCCGATCAGGTCCTCACAGAGGTCCACCCGATCTTCGTCACAGTCGTAGTTGACAAACAGTTCGACCATGAAGCTTGGCATCCGCACAAGAACCCCTATGTTTTCCACCATCGCCTGCCTGGCATCCGGTTTTCGCGCGCCTCCTTCAAGACCCAGTTTCCGGCGGTCCCCGACCGGAACAGGCGTCGGCGCCCGGCCATTACCGGCCTGCGATGGTGGCGGCTTGACAAGCTTGGGCGCCTGAGGAATTCCCGAATAGAGACTTGGGTCAATGCCAGGTTCCCGAGGGATCTCGACGGCTGGATGTAGGCAAGCGACCAAGTATGACAGATACAACTCCTGTTGGAGCTTGAGAACCCCCCTGCAGGTTGAGAGCAGTGTACCAGTAACAACCAGCGCCTCTTGCAAGACAGCCATGTTATCCGACCGTACGAGCTGGAAAAGGTAGGAGCACAGCTGGTCCTCTGCAATGGTGGCGAGCGCAGGATGTCTGGCAATGGACGGACCAGCGACTTCAAGAGCGACATGGATGATGCGGAGCGCCATGACCCGCATCTGGTCAGGATGCTTACGGTCATGGGGGTTTAGGAAGCTCACAAGAACACGGAACAGTTCCCTAACAGATGGTAGTGAGTAAGGGCGGAGATCCATGGACGCAGTGCTTCCAGTTCCCGAGCTGGTGCTGCTGCGACGAGCCTCTGCTGCACTTCCAATGCTGCTGCGATCCCCATTTTCCGTCTCAACAGCTGTAGAAGGCCGTGGTTCAGCAGAAGACGTAGCCGTCCCCGGCCTTTCGTTCCCCTGCACTGCCAGCAACTCAGCGACCACTGGAGTTACCGGCACGTCTGTTCCGTTGGCAACAGGGTCCAGCTTGACACTATCCATGTCGCCGCTAGTCTGCCGGTCCAGTGCCTCGCTCTCCTCGCCAGCTTCCACCTCCAAGTGCTTTAGGTCCTCGAAGATGATCTGACACATGCGAACCATAGACGCTTCCGCCGTCTGCCTCAGCACCGCGGAGAACCTCGACCGTGAGCAGATGGTCAGACCCCGGCCCATCATGTCACAGACGCTCTCGTCGCTCAGGATGTC